GCAAGTTTATCATATGTGGCAGATTCAATTTCAGTGTATACTTTCGGCGCAGCAACTGGAATAGGACAAGGCGTTCCTGTGTCATCACGAGCCACAACGAGAACAGCTTGGTTCGTTGTTCTGGATGGCGTAGCCTTGTCAACTGTTGCCCAGTAATGCGGTGGCAAGAGTGTGGAAGCAAGTGGTTCCATCAACCATTTCTTCATTCTGGCATTCACTGTGCTTTCCAGGCAATAAAGGATGTCGTTAAAATTATTCCTTCCGTGCCCAATTTTACCAACGTTAGCAGAACAGCAGGCTAAAAAAGAAATTAATGTTTCCAAGTGTTTACCAGCTGCTCCCATTTTGATATCAACAATTGCGGCTCGAAAGATATTTGTGCTTTTTACTTTCTTTTCTTCTCGAGCTTTTCGTTGGTTGTAGATCTCGATGGCTTTTTTATGTTGTTTTGATCCATAACCAACCAGACACAAATGCTCAATGCAGGCGTTTTTTTGATGGTACCATATCGAATTTTGGCCTTTTATAAGAGCTTGTGTTTTTTCTTTTTTCAAAAATATTCCTGTTGCCAAAGTTCCACTACCTGAGGAATTTAACATCCGCTGAGCTTGTAATGGAGTCAGGTTTGCTAGGGAAGGTTTAGCTTCTTGGTGTAGCTGGAAGCAAGGCAAACAACGTAGCACGGCCGCCTCTGTCATTTCATCGTAGAACCATTCAAGAAGAGGTGAAGCATCATCCAATTCAACAATGTTCTTTGCCTCTCGCAATTTATTCATCGAGGTTCTTGTGTCACTGTCTTCAAAGGCTAGATCAGTTAAAGATGCATGATACTTGCTAACATTATCAATCTTCAATGATAAGTCCGAAATAGCACCCATTACCTTTTCTAGGGTTACATCTTCCGAAGTATTTGACTGAGGTATTGAGTAATTTAGTAGTGTCGACTGGCTCCTCGCATTTGGCTTGTGAATGTCAACAGTATGTTCTTTACAAGTCTCTGAATCTGGTAACCGAGTGGGTGATGGCATATCTTTTTCTCCTACCTCTTGAAATGGATCCAGGAGAAAATCATTACAAAACTCGAAATCTGAATTTTTAGTTGGCTGATTATATTTACTCGCAAGGGACATTTCTTCATGATTTAACTCTTGTTTGGACTGCTCCAGATATTTATTTTTTAATTCTTGCAGATCTAATGCTGTTGAAGGAACAAATTTGCACAGCTCTAAATTAGGTGGGGTATGCCAGCGATGTTTGTGGCGGTTGATACTTGACTGATCAAGTCTACAAATTTTCGTACATTTTTCATCCCGCTTTCCCTGTAAGAATAACTCAAAGCATTGAAAGCAAATGTAGCTATCCACACTTTTCTCCCTTTTTTGAACTGTTTTCTTCTTCTTCTCTGGAATATTTTCAGCAGGGCATCCTTTCTTCCAATCCCAAACCAACTGCCTCTTCTTTGTAGGGTTTACTTCACTATCTTTAGGGTTTTCTGAGGATAAAAGTTTTCATTTAAAAAAATTATTACTAATTTTTTTATGACAATAACAACACAGTACAGCACACATATATTTAAGTTTTGTACATAAGTTGATGAATAAAAATTATTAGGAAAATCTGAAAATGTACCTTTATTATTGCATGTAGTGCAAATTACTTTCTGCCCATATCCCTCCTCCCCAAAAGGGTTTCCACACTTAAATAAATGGACGTACTTCTTGCACATGTCACATTGATGAGCTTGCCCCACTACTGTGCCACAAACATGACAATTCTGCTCCATCTTAATGAAGTTGAATTATTAAAATAAAATACAATAATTACAATTGCATAATGATAAATGATAATTGATAAATCATACAGATTATAATTTATAAATAATTACAGAATAAGTGAATTTAGTCAATTTACTGAATTACAGAAACAGAAATTAGAAATAAAGAATAGATTACACAAATGACAAATTAATTAAAGAATAATTAAAGTTTACCTTTAATCTTTGGGCTTTTCTTTTAAAAAAATTTTCTTTTATAAATTTGGGTACCAACAGTTCAACTGAATTTGCATCATTGCATGACACTGATTTCCATATGGCGCGCTATTGACCATTGTCTATGACTCCCAGTGCTTCCACTTACCTTACCAATATTCAAAAATCACTTTCGTTTCCAGATTTATGCCAATATTTCTCAAAATTACTGATAAATTTTAATTGTTACAATTTTACATAATTAATTATTTATATCGATGGCCTGATTCAATGATCGCCCACTTTATGGATTTGTGAGTTATATTTTCACGCCAAGAAGCCTGCAAAAGCTCATATTGTGCTACGCGCGCCTACGCCAAGGAAACTGTCGCAAGGAACTGACGCCAGTACGCCAAGCACCGATTCAAATGCACGCCGGATATATCCGGCGTGGTTTACGCGGAATGCACCCTGGCAATTTCTCCAAGAGGAACAAATAAACCGTTCTTTTCATGCTGTTCGATTAAGTTTAGATAGAATTGGGGTAGGAATATATTTAATACATGTAGATTCCGGTCCTATTTTAATAATATCGCTGCTATTTCGCCGTTTAACAAGATGATGTGGTCGTGTATGGGCGCGTTGACACGTCGCGTTGTTTGCACAGGATCGGAGATTTAATATAACTATATAAGCGCAAATTCCAAAGGCAAACTGTAAGACGAAGCGAATGTATCATGCGGTTTATTTACATTTTTGAACAATTGAACTTCTATACTGCGATGTGCTTCTGAATTTCGCGATCGAACATTTAGGTTCGCAAGGCATCTAAATGCGAATATGTATGCGAAACAATACGCGAACTGTATTGTTTATGTTCAGAAGCTCTATATTGAAGACTGGCACGTGCGCCGGAGTTAACGCCAGAACGGCGTCTTGTTTGTTTAGGCTTTGCCCAGCATACATAAAAAACGACTATAATGACAGTGGCATGCACGGTGCACGCAACGCTAGCTTCTCGCCAGCTACAGCAGCATAGATTAGGACATAGATGTGCAACACGGCACATTTTAAGTGTCTTTGCAGATGAGAAATTGTAGAAAAACGACAATTTTAACATAACCGTTCGCAAGATTGCCTATATAGGTTCATAAATATTTGAAATTTCATCCTGGAGAGAAAGATTGAATCTATACTTCACCAGTTCCTGGTCCAATAGTACGATCGTACTTGTTTGTAAATCGCATAGGCGACCACCGGCAAATCTAGGCGAATGGACAGACAAATGGTTCGGCGTTCCGTGTTTACCATGTTCAGACGAGCCGCAGTTTGCTTAGAATGAAATGGTGGAGATGCTGAGGATTAAAATCACGAATAAATCGCTTTGTTTTTGTGTTAAGTTTCTCGCTTTAATTTATTCATTTGCCAATCCTTGCATGAGATCGGCCACGCTAAAATCAACGATACATTTATGAAAAATTTGTCACCTTTAGGGGTCGCGCGGTGCTCCCAGTATGCATTATTTTTCCTGAAACTTTGACAGTTTATTAAAACCTTTCCAACTTTTAGACAGTGAAATAATATCTCAATTTCAGCTTAACATTTTCGCTCTCAACTATACCTCGGGACAAAAAAATCCAAAATTCTGCAAAATATCCTGAAAAACGGAAATTTTACATTTGGGACATTTTTTTTATACACCCTGTATAAAAGAAATAAAAAAGTGATAACCCTTTGATAAGGCCCAAAATTCTACTGTTTCAGCAAAAACATTAGTTTAAACACAAGCGTTTATGTAAGTTATGTATTAAGGTGGCTCAGTCTGGAGTTTTGTAAAAATTCTAGATAGCAGGTTTGTTGTACCGAATTACACTAATATTGTGGACTAAAGATCAATAATACTTTTGATTATATTGCACAGTACGTTAAAATTTGGGATGAGAAACTATTAACTATGAAAGCCATTGCTAGGGAAACAATGAGGTTTAACGGAATGCTTTGCAAATCATTTAGTAAACGACCGGACAATTTTGAAAAAACGTTATTGATAGGAATTTTTTTAAATGCGTAAAACCAATTTTTTGTATCAATAACTTTTTCTTAAAATTGTCCTGTCAATTACTAATCATCTGGCAAAACGTTCAGTGAAAAAGAAGACATCGCACCGAAGAGTTTGTGAAATATTCGTGATTTAATGAGAATTGGTGGCCATATTGAAACGTCATATAAACGGCTTCTATGTATAATTGGCCAATCAATAGTTTCTTATTTCGAACATAGTATTCAATACGTTAAAGCTAATTTTAATCTATAGCTCAGTTTGGTTCTTAATTCTACATCATCAAACCTGGACTTAAAAAATTTCTCAAAACCCTAAGTACCCACATGAAAACTAGTAAAGCTTGAAAATATAAATATATATTTTTTAAAAAATAATCTTTAGCCTATTCTAGCAATTATCAATGAAATATTTTGAGAGCAACTCTAATTAATTAATTCCGTCTCAGCTGCAGTTGATATATGGCAATATCTGCGGACGCCACGCACATGAAGAGAATAATAATAACGTAATTCCAATAGTTGCTGAAACCTGATTTGCTTTCAAGCGGTGGTTGCATTCTTCCACATTTCGCAAATACTTAATAGGATCTTATTTTATCTTTCACTTGAAATTTTTTTCAAAATCCGTATTATGGACATGTATGGATGCTAGCTGGAAATACAGGGTGTGTAAAAAAACTCAACCCTTAAAATTCCCAGGGGCCTTCGATCTTTTGCTATTGAATAGAAGCGAACATATATGAATATGAAGTGGTTGCAGTTTTTTTATACATCCTGTGCTATAGAAGGTTTTAATATCTACAGTAATAGCCATTGTCGTACAATGGATATACTAGGGAAACAGTGTAAATGCAAATGTCACCTAAACCTAAACGTCGCATTTGGTCGCGCCGAATGAGATGATAATGAAGCTTAATGAGGTTTATCATCTCATTATCTATTGTATGAATTGCATTCCACGCGACCAAAATGCGACGTATAGCGTAGACCTAGCCACAACCCTAACCCTAAAGCGAAGTCATTCTTCGATACTGTGCGCTATACCATATAATACCAATCAACCAGTTGCTGGCCATGAAAAGACAGTAACCTATTAGGCTCATTTTACTAAGTGCAAAACTGGACAACACTCGACTTAATGCAATAGCTGAATGTACAGACGCAAGTGATATACTTTGGATGAATGTTGCTTTTTCAGGTGGGGTTATCTTTGAGAGAATAGAATTTCCCAAGGGGTTTGCGAAATATGGCATGCCAAAACAAATGTATGTTAGCAGAATATAATATTGGACGCTTGTGACATGATCCCACGTTAATGCCAAAGACATCAGAAATGCTATGGCAATAATTTCCATCATCAAGGCGGCAAAAAATAGCTTCCTTTCATCAATACACTCTGAGGCGCGATAAAGACAGATAAACAAAACCAGGGTGAACAAAGTGCAGTTCAAGAAAAAATATTTGACATGAATGAGTTCCAAATGAAAGTGGTCCAGTGCCAAAATGGGGGTTAAGAAAGTAGCTGTACTCGAGAATATCTCGCTGGAAAATATAAGAAAAAGAAGACACAAGATTCTCGAATTCCATATCGTGCTTCGTTTTTTACCAGGGGTCAGGTTTTCGGGCAACTTTTGTTCACGGTGATTAAGATCATCTCGTTTCTTGACTTCTTTACAATCACTCGAGGGTGGCTGGGTATTACGTGCGACACTTTCCACCCAAATGTCTTTTGGTAACAGAAAAGAAGCAATGAGGAAGAGAGCATATATGATTGCTAACACAAGCCCAGGCGAATTTCCTTCATCTATTTGCCAACCAAATATATAGGCACGAAACGTAATAAAACTTCCAATTCCAGGACCAAATACCGCACCAAGACAATATACACCTTCTAGGAATACGAAGTTCTCTCCACGACTTTCTTCGTCGGTCTGTAATGCAACTTGTCCAAGAAGAATTGCTATGTCCCCACTTAGTCCTGTCATTAGCCTTCCAAAAAGAGGGAAATATGCGCTGTAGTTGACACTATATAGAATACTGGCAAACACTTTCATCGCACAACAGCAGCTGAACATAAACTTAGGATTTCCAAATCTATCTGTTAAGAATCCGAATAAGGGTCCGGCAATAATGGCGCCAACATTGTACGAAGTGAAGACTAAAGCGAGAAAAAACTTGGTTTGACCCAGGGATCTGATGTAATACCATGCTGTAGGCGCGATAATGTAGATTTCAATGCCACCCAGGAAAAATCGAAGAGCTGTGAATTTTGTTATCCAGCCGTGTCTGTCCATTTCTATAACACGAGATTCAGATCTATAATGGAAAAAAGATATAGAATTTCAAATTTAAATTGGTTAGGAAGACACTAGGTAAGACTATGTGGAATTTAGGCAATTTTTCACTCGGCGGAATCTCCGATGGAGTTTGATTCCGTGATTCACAAAATATCAACCAAAATTAAGCGAAAAGGTAGAAAACTCCCTTTATATAGTATATTACCATCTAATCTGATATACTAGTTTTTTATATAATGTAGTCTTAGATTGCTCAATAACTGTTTAGCTTTTTTGCATCATGCAAATCAGAGTGTACTCGTTTTTTATGAAAGCCAAAAGCTCTACCCCAGACACAACAGCTTCTCTTGTTTGTCGCATTATAAGTCTGTTGCATTATAATCATAAATCTCGTCGGTGTTTTCCGCTAGCGAAAATAAATGGTTGTGAAAAGTATTCTCGCAGGCAAGTTACTTTGCTGCAAGTCCTTTTCACGTGAACAGAGAATTCGCCAAGGGGAGAACCGGCTCCACGTGGGGAGAAGCGCGCGCCAATTGTCTCGTGCTACACGTCACAGGCCATACCCGACCTTACCTGACCTAATTGCCTATTGTCTTACGCACGTTAATTGCCTGATTTTGCTTGTTTAAAGTCGATTGAGATGAAGCAAAAAATTTTACAGCGAGTTAATATTACTTTACTCTTTATTTTGAAACGGGCAATTGTCAGCAGGTTGTCCTAGAAGGAAGTCAAGGACAAGAAACGGGGAAAAGAAACTGGTTTAATGAGAATGCCGGTAGGGTATCGGACCAAGTTTCACGACGAGTCTTATTTCGTGTGTTTATGTTGTGCGCACGCATTTTTACTTTTTTAATGTATTTAAATTATGATTTTCAGCCGTTTTCACAGCTTGTTCATCTGCAACAGACACAGCGGCCTTTTGAACCCTACACGTGATAAAGACCTAACATTCAAAAGCGGTTTTTGTGTTCATATTACAATGTGAAATAAGCTTTTTCAATGGATGTAGAAACATATTTGTTTGTTATTTATTTGAGTAAAATAAGGATGATTTTAAGTGATTGATTTCGGAGTCGTTGAAATTGGCGAAGTTTACTTGAATCGACAGATGAAAGAATTTACTTTCTCATATTTTCCTATATTTTCCATGTTAAAGAGGCAATTACAATAAGCATAACCTGGGCGCTAGGTATACAGGGCTGGGTGCCTATATAGGCGCCTGAAGGGCTAGCAGCTCGCGAGCGTGGCTAGAAGACTACAGGCAAGCATGATCTTTACCCAAATGTATAAGCGTTGCGCCATAGTAACTCATGTTATTTTTTGGTCAGAAATCATATTTACACCTTTGTGAAATCTGATTGGTTGTATACGATAGCGGTCCATATGAGGCCGTAGGGACTGCGCGAAACTTAAATCCCCAATGATGACAATGAGTCGGACTAATTGGAATTTTTTGACGTTTTCCTGCCTTATATATATTTATTAAATTGCGCCGAATAAGCAAGATTGATCATGAAATTCATTTCAAACGCGAATAAAACGAATATACAAGCAAAATTCAAGCATCAAGAGAAATAATTCGTTTTTAAAACATATAAATAGTTCATTGAAAGGAAAGAAAACGTCAAAAAATTCTATTTAGTCCGATTCATAGTCATCGCTGGGGATTTAAATTTCGCGCGGTCTTCGGCCTCATACGGACCGCTCTCGTAGCCAATCAGATTGCAGAAAAGCGTAAAATATGATTTTGGTCGGAATATTTCCCTCGATCACAAAAACGTACCTTTTGAGACCACGGTAAATAATATATATATATATTTTTTTTGGTTTGTTTAGTGAACTCTGGTGCTTCTGACTGGCAGTGTAGGAATGCGAATATTTACAAAGGTTTATTACGAGTTATTACATACCCTGTGGTTCCATAAGACCAAGGTGCGTCTGAAATATATTAAGGAATGTGTGGACCAATGTCTCTGAAAAAGCAAAAGATAAATAAGTTATCTTAGTAAAAGTATTTTGTTATTTACATCATGAAAACACAAATATTCCAGTCATTAATTATTAATATAAGTAGAACAGGTTTCATTTAAAAACCATGGCCAGCCGACAATTTAAGGTGGCTCCCTACAGTTTTAAGAATATTGAAAACTAATGATTTAGATTGAAATTTTTGGCAGGAAATTTCTTGCCAGACGAAATGAAATTTTCCAGATATATTAACCAACATTCTAATAGTCGAAAATTTTGAGTATCACGTCATTACCGTGTTATGGTAAACAATGGCGATTCAATATGGCCGTCATTTTACCTATTCACGCATTTTACTCGAAAACAAGTTCGGTTACTCCAATTTTTTATTTTTTAAAAAGTTTTTTTCTTACAAAAAAATGGGAAATTTGAGCAAGTTTAAAAAAATTCTATAAAGCCAAAAAATTCTATAACGAAAAATCACGTTTTTTCATTTTTAATGATTTTGGCTCTATAGAATTTTTTTTAACTGGTTCAAATTTTCCATTTTTTTGTAAGAAAACTTTTTATAAAATAAAAAATGGGGGTAACCGAACTTGTTTTCGAGTAAAATGCGTGAATAGGTAAAATGTCGGCCATATTGAATCGCCATTGTCACCATAACAACGGTAATGACGTCATGCTTATGGGCAATTTCTGACTGTTAGAATGTTGGTTAATATATCTGGAAATTTCTTTTCCTTAGCAAGAAATCTCGTGCCAAAATTTTAAATCAAAACCACAAGTTTTCAATATTTTAAAAAATTGTAAGGAGCCACCTTAAAAAAGTAAAGTAAAAAGCAAATTCCGAATAAACAAGACATCTTGAGAATCAAAATATAATTCAAACAAGACACAGATTGAGACTGTAAATTTTCGACTTTATTACAAAGTCATCTTCAGACAGAATGAAATACAATACTTTACAACGCATATATACACAACACAGAGAGACAGAGCGCACGTATCAATCCAGCATGTAGCGGAAGGCCGGTAAATCAAGCAGAGCGAAACATGATAAGGTTTTGAATAAAACTGTAAATATGTATGCTATATTTACAACAATATGTTAGATAGATTAATTTAAGGAAAGAAAGACCTGACAATTAAAATATAGAGAGATTAAGTGAACAGTTGTAGTTCTTTGCTGGCTTTAAGTCCAGTGTTAAGGAAAGGTTTGTTATGTTTGATTAAGAGTGCTTCAAGGAAAAGGCGAGAACTGATATGATAGTTATTCGATTTAGTTATGTGAAGAATTCTATAGTTATTGAAAACTAAGTTCTCAATAGGAGAGGGGTTATTCAAAGATAATGGTATATCGTTGAGTAGTGAGAACTGGTTTTGTAGTGTGGCTAAGAATTGAGCATGCTCACACTCAGAGAAATGTTGGCCTACTGCACTAGAAGAGAGCCTAGTAGAATGCTCTTTCAAACGTACAGAAAGGCACCTTTGCGTCATGCCAATATAGGTTTTCCCGCAGCCAGGGCAAGCGACTTCGTATACTAAATTGCTACGAGATAAAGGAGGAAGTTTGTCTTTGTTGGAAACAAAATAAGACAACCTTTTAGTGTCGTAAATAGTGACGAATTTCATCGGTTTGGAAAGAAATCTTTGTATTTTATTGAGACGAGATTCAAGCAGAAAACAAAATTCATTTGGTTCACAATTTATACCGGATTGCTTTCAAAGTGGTTCAAATTTTGTAGCTATTAAAAGGCAGTAAAAAAATTGCTGTCAGAGATTGAAATAAATACACCAAATCTATCAAACTAGTAAACATTTGCTACTAACCATTCTCCTTTAAAGGCAGACGAAGATATCGCGACAAACGAATCCGGTGTAGTGTAAACGGGGCCTTTGGTGTAGTGTAAAGAGTTTGGGGCATTCGGTCCCTGTTAACTTCCTGAAAAGTATCCCATTTATAATTGGAGGCATATTGTTAAATTGTGTAATTAAAAAATTGAGTTATTAGCGCTCAAAAATACAATCATCCTTTGCGCGAATGATTGGTTCGTCTTCCAGTTCAACGATTACAATTAAGACCGTTTTACAGATAATTATTTTAAAATTTCTATAGTACAGACTATGAATATTAAACATTTTAAACCACCAATCCAGTCCTATATTTAGGTATGTAACGGTAGGTCATTGCTGGGAAAAAACTGTTTTTATGCCTATGAGTCCGACATTTAGGTAAAGAAAGATTAGTGTTGTTTCGCAGAGTAATGCACGCAACAACACTGTCTTCGTGTGATGGAGGTCCGGACCCCTAATATTTGTGAGAACTTTTGAAGGGTGGGGATAAAATGCGGACACGGATTGCGGATGCAGATGGAAAAATGCGGATAGGAAAATGCGGATAAGAGGATAAAATGCGGATAGGAAAATGCGGATGAGGAGATAAAATGCGGATTTGGGGATAAAATGCGGATGATGGGATGAAATGCGGATGATGGGATAAAATGCGGATGATGGGATAAAATGCGGATGAGAGGATAAAATGCGAATGAGAGGATAAAATGCGGATGGGAGGATACAATGCGGCTGTGTATCCAACTTGCGAATTTGACGATCGAACAAGTATATTCAGGGTTTTTTTGGCACTATTTAAGGCTATTGTTCGGTTAATATTAATTTACATTGCCGTTACACCGGAAAAACTGAATATTGGCTACATATAAAGGCTGATTTCGTTCTGCTCCTTTTCAGAAGTTACGAAATATCGCAAGTGAAATTTACAACTTTTGAAATGACAAAAAAAAATTTGAACCCGGGCGCACAAGTTTATGATCAAATCGCTGACATACGCCTTTAGTTAACGATTACCAGGTGCCCACAGATCATATGGATTCGACTAGCTGTCTATAACCTTGTCATGCATCCAAAACAGAATTCGCTAACTAAAATACACTGGAAGCCCCTAAATTTGAATGGGAAAACATAGTCAAACAAAAGAAACTTGGTCGCGGCAGTCTCGGTTCTATGTACCTTGCAAAATATAAAGACGATGGTAAGCATTGTCATCCCATATATGTTGTAGTGAAAAACTTAAGAGCGGATCCGTTGATTCACGAACTATCCAAAACAGCGCCAAAAGAGATCGAAATATCACTGAATGTCTCAGATTTTGTAAGAGTCCTTACTCCATCACGATGCAATACTTGTGCTTTGACTCATAACAAAGCCCACCGCGAATTAAAGCCATCCTAGTTTCTAATCAGCATTTGAACAATCCTAAATTTGACGAAACTCAGTAAGCTCTCGCACACGTAAGGATAATTGCTTTCTTTGGCTTCCTTTATCAGTCAGCCAGATTACAGCCATCGAACAGTACGCACGACTATCACCTTGCTGCAGAAATGCAAAACAGCAAGAAAAAATCCCACATTCCGTGCCCCACAATTGATGCAGCCAATTCGTGTGCGGTGTGCGTTCCTCTCTTTTGGAATTTGCGATCGAATTTTAAACGATACTGAATTCATTAATCATCCCAATTCGGAAAAAGTACGTGAAATAGCTGAGGATGTCACCTCCATTCCTGGAGGGAGTGCTCCTCGAAATTCAGTAACTTCGCCGCCATCTTTTTAAAGTCGAAAACATGGTGGACTTCGGCCTTCTGCGCACTGCGCAGAAGCTCTTCTGACGCCACGTGGTCCTAAATGGACATGGTAGAGCCACTGACCAGGCTCAAATCTGAGCCCACTTCGAAGACATTCCCCTTCTGCATTTTTGGGAGATTTTTATTTTGTCGGCGAAACCTCACTGTTTTCGATATATTATAACTATTTAACCATGATAAATCTTGTCCAAGAAAAGATTAGGCTTTGACAGCAACTCCAGTGGTTGTTAAATATATTATTTTGTATCAGAACCTGCCTGAACCCCTGCCAGGTCAGGCAGATTAAACCAATATGAAGTGACTGGTATATCTTGTTCGGGTCATGAAGCAGCTCCAAGAGAGAGTGATATTGTGCAATAGGGAAGATCTGGGGCGATCGAAATATAAATTTGTCAATCTTGTAGCCAAACCTGCCCCGGAGATGACATAATAATGATTACACAATAATTGAACTTCTATACTTTTTAACTGAATTTCGCGATCGAACAACATTTAGGATCGCAAGGCATCTAAATGAGTATGAACTGTATTGTTTATGTTCAGAAGCTTTATATTGAAGACTGGCACGTGCACGGCACGCCGGAGTTAACGCCAGAACAGGCGCCTTGTTATTATTTAAAAATATTCACACAGGGTGTCTCAAAAAAACGAAAACCATTGAAATCACTCATTGTTAAAATTTGAATGCCGTGTGCACGAATTTTAGCCCGTGGGGATTTAATGCAACTCAGTAAATGTCAAATGCTTTGTGTTGCTAGAGAAAGGGGACATGTCGAAGGTCATGGTGATTGAGATGCACATTTAAATATTGTTAATAAATATCATTTTCGCGTACGAGCAAATTTTACTGCATCATATGCATGCATAAAAATGCTTATGGCAAACATTTACACACCTGTGGGTCCCAACAGAGCGCTTAGGCATTCAAACTCGAACAATTACTTTGTTATGTGTGATTTCGTTTTAAATGCCTAAGCACTCTGTTGGGACCCACAGGTGTATAAATGTTTGCCATAAGCATTTTTATGCATGCATATGATGCAGTAAAATTTGCTCGTACGCGAAAATGATATTTATTGACAATATTTTCAATTTACAAATACGGATAACAATATCTAAATGTGCATCTCAAACACCATGACCTTCGCCATGTCCCTTTTCTCTAGCAACACAAAGCATTTAGCATTTTATAAGTTGCATTAAATCCCCTGGCACCTACACTGCATTCAAATTCTAACAATGAGTAATTTCAATAGTTTTCGTTTTTTTTGAGACACTCTGTATAAGGTAGCCTTTGAATTGCGTGATTTTCAAAGTAGCCCCACCAGATCTGCTCGCTCAAAGGGTCAATTATGCGCGGTATTTCACATTTTTAAAATATTCTAATTGTGTGATAAATACGTCTTCTGAGCAGGCATGCAATATTTAAATCATTTTCCATAGTGTTAGAAATAATCAGTATCAGGCTTAACCATTCGTTTAAATCCTTTCCTTATTGCAATTATAATCATTATGTATTAAGTGTGGTTTTCACATTTTTAGCATACATGGCTATAATCCTATAATCTTTTATATGAGAATTAAGCATTGCCTGAATAACAATCTAAACGTTTATTTATTTACTTCACCAACAAGCGCCTTTTTATATAGGACCATTAATTAAAGTCAATGTATCTATAACTTTTCAGACTAATTTAAATACGTCATTTCTTGTACCCTATGCTGAGAAGGTTGTTTCACTGAATATGTAAAAAATTGTCGCTTGTCTACCACATAACGTTCTTATTTCACCTTTCGAAAATGGCGCTATAGTATGGCATCGATAAAGTATTCAAAATAGTCGAATAAATGCAATTAAAATGTAAAGTTTCCTCGTTTAAATGATTTCATACACATTAATATCTATACTCTCACCTTACAGATACACGACAAACTACCGTACGCAGGTTTCAGCCAAAATCCAACGCAGCACCTGGGCCAGGCAACGAAACTGGAAAAAATGTATGACCCCAAGGCTCAACGACAAATGTGCATGTTGTGTTTAGTATATTGTTTGTGAAGTTTTAATAAGGCCATTCTAGGTGACGTCGGGTGCAATATAAAATAACAATAATTAAGGGCCCGATCATACATGATCCTCGTTGTGCTACTCTTGATGTATGGAAATACGGTTATGGTTAGTGACAGCGAAGGCCGTAGAAACCGGGGGGGGAGGAATTCTTGGGTAATGGCTAATTTCCACACTTATTTGTCAAAATGAAAAATTATTTTTCATGCATGTGTTGAAGAAGGATGTTTTGCATCTTTGCACCTGGCTCATCGAAGTTAAGGTGGTTCTAAATTTAAAACGATGTTGTGACGTAATTATTGAGTCTATTACTGTACCCCACTTGTATCTTCAATTTTACAACACAGGTAACAATCAAAATATGGTTTTCACGTCAGCCTATGAGCTGAACCCAAGTATTCCGGTTGTGCTTTGGCTTGACACCAATGTTATCATACTGTAGTGATGATATACACACAATATAAAAATCATAATCATAAATATATACTCATGCAGGATTAATAAGGGAAAAATATAAGTGATTAAATAGCAGGATGAAAAAAGAATAAGCGGATTTAACATTTTATTATATTCATTTTGAAATCAATGGTGTTTCTTGCAATCTGATTAGTTAAAAATAGTGTGATTAATTCCCAAATCGCACTATTTTTGAGCATTAATCACATCATTTATAAGCCAATAAGTTTGAAGCTCTGCACCACAATAACCAACCAGATTTAGTATTTCAGTGTAATTACAGGGGAAAATGGCAGAACATTTTATTATTTTGTATTTTTAAATGCCCCGCAAAATTTCTTGAAAAAAATGGATGAAAATTGCTCACATTTTACACGGTTTTCGGTTCTTTCAGCCAAATAAATCGTTTTGAATTGGTTTACTTTTTTGTATGACTTCAAAATGAATATAATAAAGTGGAAATTGCACTTCGTGTCGTGCAATTTTGGTGTGAAATCAAACTTGTGATTACAAATCATTTTGTAATCACGCGTTTGATCTCACACCAAATTGCACTCCACTCAGTGCAATTATCATTATTTATCCGACTGCAGAAGCGTAAAGCCGAACGAACCGTAAAGTTTTGTCGAGGAATTTTATACCGACGAACATGTGGCATTTGAAACGCATCCTGAGAAAGCACAGCCATTTCGTGAGTTATGGAACAATGCTTGTGAGCCACTTGTGTGTATGAACGAGGATGAACCTGGGGGTTCAGAAACTCCCCACAATCACACCCCCCCCCCGTTTCTATAGGCCCGTTTACACTTGCAATTTTTGGTGCGATATTCTTCTTTTGGCAGATGTGAACGAGTGACTAGTTAAGAATGCTATGATGTATAAAAGCTCTTACTTGAACATCTGTAACTAATTCACACGTTCACATCTATCAAAAGAAGAAAATCGCAGAAAAAATAGCAAGTAAACGGGCCTTATAGACATTTAGAAAGGTAGGAAATATTTCAGTATGTTAAATGAGGAAGATTTATACGGCGGGATTTAGTTTGTTTAGTTAAAAGCTTTCAATTAAAATGCTGATAGAGAGGATTTTTTTACTTAGCGCTTGTGAAGGATCGTAAAAAACCACTCATAAATTAAGAATCTCGTGTTAGCAACCTCGCAAGCCAGGCTTGGTATTGTTAGGAGAAACCTCGCTGCTAAGACGGTGTTACACGGTGCAATTAATTTATCAACCAACTTGCAATACAATTATCCTTTTCAGAGATGGCAACTACGCGAAACATAATACACTGATTTAAAATTAGAATTGCATTGCACGTTGCAAGAAACGTTGCACCGTGTAACAGGGCCTTTACATCTTGCTATTTCTTGTAGGCATATACAATATATTAGTTCAATGAATTATTGAATGAAATCAGACTACGGCGAGTATGAGCTAGTCTTCGATATTTAATGTAGCTAATATATATAAGCCCCCTTCACACTATATACACTCATGCAATTTATTGGAACGGCATGGCCAAGATCTGTCTAATATATTTAAATACCAATGCTTTTATGGTCAGCACTTCTGGTTATTTAGGCAAGTGTCTAGAAATTAAATTATATTTTTGAAAATTTATCATCAGAGGCGTATGAAGCAGTTTGGGTGGGGTGCATGGGCGCAGGCTTTCAGAGAAACTTTTTCTTACAAAAAGGGAACCCCGAGTAAATGTATTTTCCAATAGCTTAACAGTCAGTTTGAAAATCTTAAATTGGCGGTATCCCCCATATAGGTCTACACATTTTGAAACATTTCCATGCAACATTGCTTCCTAGCAATATTTATATATTGATTTATATATTTATAAGATATATATCACAAGCCGCCTCTTAATTGAAAAGTCGTTTTAAATCTAAAATATGTTAACTATGAAATGTCCATGTTGTGGTTTTGATGTACATATATATATGTACATATATAGTTTGCCATCCAAGTATGCTCCATATTGGCCAACTGCATGGACGTATTGGCCACTCACAAACATGTTTTGCCCGCAAACTACGTCATAACGTGGGCTTTCTATAAAGGTCCACAATATATTCACAGTAAAGTACACTGTATAGGCATTATTGACTATTGCATTGGCGTCAATCGACGTTCATGGAAGGGGACATACCATATATTACGCTATGGCTTGCTAATTTCTTTTGAAAACAATTTCACTTTCAATAGAAATCAGCAATTAACGTTCGATTGACGCCCAGGGACTATTGAAAACTCATTTTTGCCGACATGTTTTTATTTCTGGCGACCTGAAGTACATGGATTAATAACGTGTTTTTAACTCTGCACAACTCTGCCAATAACATCACGCATGGCAATGTTCAAAGTCTGACAGGCATGCGCGCAGATATTTTATTGACAAGGCAAATAATAATTTTCAGGGTCTTTTAATGATTTCCAGTATTACGAACGAAATCAAGGCGGTTTTTCACGAGCCGGATTTTTTTGACGGTAAAAAGTCGACAAAGTTTACAATGAGAATTGGACGCCTATTATCGTAGGATTTGCGGAGGACATGACGTTGAAAGAAAAAAAATTGTCCAGACCCAACAAATTCATAGACAGTGGCTGAAATATGGCACCTTACACTATACAAAAGATGTGCATTACTATAAGTTGACCATCAATATATGGTGTCGTAGATACTACGTCGACTTTTTCCTTTTCTTTTCTTTGATATTTGTTGTCTTACTATCAATCACGCCAGAATGTTTACGTTTCTAAAAAGATTCAACGAGTGCACAAATTATCATCACGTTACGTGACAAATTAATATATGTGTATTCATATACATTCATCTTGCCCTGACTGCAGTACAATTAATGGTTTTGCCAAAATGAATAAAATGGCGAATAAAAGATATTTGCATAGAAAACTCTTGGTCCTGGGGAACTATAAAAATAATGTTATACACGCAACATCTTTTTACGTCAACTCTACGCAAAAATGCTTCCATAAAGATTTGCGTAGTTATGTGTCGAATACTGTATATATGAGCCAGTTTGTAACACAAAAATGGTTTCGGAAACTACATGTTACAAGAATAATATATTGTTTTAATTTATACAACATTGTTGTTTAATGGAAATTGTTACGTGTAACATCGCGCATAGGTACCCCACACAAATAAGCAAAAAACTAACCTGAGAGGTTCTAACTTTTTTCTTAAATGCTTGTACATCAACTTTATCATTTGAATCTGAAAATACCGTATATATAATATTTAGCAGGTACATAAATTCGTATATACGTGTTTGTCGCATCACAAACTTGTGTGTGTTACATGTAACATTGTTACGTGTAACATCGCAGAATAATATAAATTAAGTTAGAATCAGTTTTTCTTAACTCAACCGGTACATTTTGAACATACATACTTGCAAACCATTTGCTCTTATCTTATTTCTCTTTATCTCTTAAAGCGTTTGAGAGGCGGGAAAAAGCTTGCAAATAAGTGATATGTAAATACCTTTTTCATGCTTTATTTTTGTCTGTTTCTCTTCTTCAGGAGGTACAAACATCTTTTCCCGGCGTTCTTTACGTATTCCTTCCGCCTTCGCTTGTTTGTTCTGTTTAAAATAAGCGCAGTTGCTCAGAAATGCTATTGAATCCGGTTAAACATGCATATATGATGCTTATTGAGCGTTAAAGTGAGCGGACGTGATGTCATGAATAAACACCCCCTCCCCAATTATCGATCTAATTATGCCACTGGCCCAGTCCAGGTTGTAAAAATAATTAGTTAACTTTTAACAATAGTTATAGTGCGTGGCAGAATCAGCCAATCAGGATGAATTGTAATGCTGAGACGCTCGTTTCTTAGTTTATTTTTTAACAAATATGCTGTATGCAAGAGTTATATTCTTCATCCTTGTATTTTAATCGCTATCCAATTATACGATAGGAAAAAGTAAATCAAGTGAGTTAAATAACAAAATAAAACATCAACTTTATATCAGCGATTCATCTTGCACTGATACTTTAACATTAAACACAAAGTGCAGCAGAAAACATTGCCAGAAAATGGAAAAAATATAAGAATACCTTCTTTTCCTCTTGTGCCTTAAATCTTCTTTCTTTCTCCTTGAGGAAATACTCTCCACTAGCAAGCTGTTTATCCACCTTAATGAAAACCAGACTATGTGTAAACTTATGTCATGTATAAATTCGCAATGGTTTTGGTTTTTTTATTAAACACGCACAACTTATTAGGAACAGTAAAACAACATTTGTGATATTGGCTCTGTCCCTTATGTAAAGTGTAAATGCAGATTTTTTAAAACTGATCGGACAAATATAGGACAAGAATCCGCTAGAATCTTTTTACTGTGTCTCACGCGCTTTTCATGCAATGATTTTAACAGGAAATGCAAACAAGCTTTCCCAGGAACTTCATGCACTAAATGGATGGGAACAAAAATTAGTGAATTATTATCTAACTTATTCTCGGGAAACTACAAGATAAAGACGTTCATAAAAATAGTGGCTTTGTTAACGAATCACGAAAAAAATTACATTTGTGAGAAATTTATCAAACAAAATCTTTGATAGAGGCTAAGACTATTCCAAAGGTACATAAAGAAAGATAACAGTGATTATTGTGATTATTATCAATATCGACAGTTTTATGATATCACGACATGTTATACATATAACGTGTTAACGTTGATGCATGACTGTGTCATTATTGCTGTGTGAATCGTGAGTCTTGAAGTTGAATCAGTGAACTTACCTTGCTTTCTTGCTGTGGGGGAGGGAACGGCGTGTATCTTTTCTTCGCAATTTTAGGTTTCTTACGTTGTTGCACAGAACTATTCTTAAACTTGGGAAGAAAACGATCCCATGATTCGTTCTTCAAAGCAGGATCTTTAGCTAATTCCCGTTTGATCATTAAAGTCTATAAAATACGTTAATTTAGTGGTTAACAACGAGTCCACTGTTTAGTTTATTGTGGTTACGATTGCCAACTGCTGCTAGTTCATTCTTATAACACGTAAGCCGGTGGCCACATTTTCAATAATAAATAAAATACCTTTATATTGTAGATTGGATGAATATTCTTCATCGTTTCTTCAACTACCTTTCGGGCCTAAAAACAGAATTCCATACGTGAAACTGACATTCTTTGTCGATCAAAAAAGCCACTTGTATTTTTACGGTCAATTTTAGTGTCATATTTACACCTAATAAAATTCTCTGTGAAATAATTCACGATTCTACAGGATTAAACTTACAGCTTTCAATCCTTTATAGGAGCCAATGATTGCAACCGTGTTTCCTTGTACCATAATATAACACTCTGTTAGTAACTCAAGTGCCTGAAAAAAATATAAAAATATTTTAGAAAAACTTTATCGGGATATGACTTTAAGTTCACCTTTAGCACAATAACTCACGGCATATTTTTCAGGCTGAAATGAAACTCTTTTAGGCCGAGTTGAAGGTTAGTGGGCTAAAATGAGCTTAAAGTTGGTTTTTACCAATGAAAGAACATTAGGTTGATATGTCACCTACTGTATATTGTATTGAGAATAGAATTGTACAACTCTATTTCACCCAATACTATTTTATGAACTCCATTCCTTCCTATTCAACTCTGCGCTAATCATCATCTTCTTCATCACATTTTATGACATTCTATTCTATCTCGTTTTCCATGCAACATCATCACATTAAATGGCACTTCATTCCACGCTATTCCAATTTTTTGCATCTGTTCCATCCCAATTCACCTCGTTTCACGAATTTCTACCATTCAACGGCCATCTCATATTCCATGACACCCTATTCTTTCCCACTCCACATCGTTACATAATATTATATTTCATCTTACTCACTTCCAATTCACACCTACATATTTCATAATGAATACTTCTTCTCGTTCCATGACAATCTCTCCTCACGTAATTCATAGCGTCCCATGACATTTCATGCCACCCAATTTAATATCGTTCTATATGACACTATTTCATCCCACTACATTCCATTCCAGGCAATTCTGCTAAACTCCACAATATTTAACTAATAATTTTCAACACGATGCCACGCCATTCACGTTTACTTAAATTCGACTTAATTTCATCCCCGCTCATTTCATTTCCCCTTAAATTCGTTCATTACACACTAATTTTCGTCCATACGTTACCGCACAACACCTAAATCGACTTCTATCTTGTATATTGTTCTATTCTGCATCATTTTTATGGCGACTTAAATAACCTTTGACTAACCTTCAACGTCGCGCCGTTTGGACCAATTAGCCTTTGTCGACGCTTTACAAATCTTTCTTTGTTGCGAACAAGGGAACCAATTTTGACGATATCACATGATACAGAATCATCCAAAACTCTCAACGCCTAAGAGGAAGACGGTCAATATTCGTATTATATATTTGACCACGTGAATATCATCCTTCCGAAAATCAAGTCTTTATTAGAAGGCCTATTGAACATTTACTTGTAATCTTAATTTGAAGAAGAGGGTTTCACTTAAGAAGAGGCCAATCAGGGGTCTATAGCCCGACTCCTATAGAAGTAAATTTCGAGATCTTAGCCCACCAGAATACAATAGCCCACAAGTAACAACGAAGACGTACAGTATATCCTTCATTGTGATCAAGTGAATTTAACAAAATACTGTAGCAAGCACAGGTATATAAGTTCCAATATAACCAAGGAGCAGCGTGGCAGCGTCTTCAAACAACTTAGCATCAAATGTGGTATAACAACTGCCTAAATTAGACAAAACACTTCTTGACGTTTTGACCGGAGGGGCTTCGTCAGGAGAGTTAGTATCACTCTCCTGACGAAGGCCCTCAGATCAAAACGTCGAGAAGTGTTTTGTCTATTTAGGCAGTTGTTTTACCACATTTGATGCTAAGCCCAAGTATAGGTACAGGTATGATAAAGCTACACTATAGTATGGGCACCTATTCCCCGGATTATTTATTTATAGAACTTTGTAAGTTCTTTTGGCCAATGTTCTTGAGACTTGATGTTTTGATGAGGTTATGAAGTCAAAATGCAAATATAGAAGTACCTGTTCAAATGGGACACTTCTGGCCATGAGTTTTATCATGTCACGTGCTTTGATAATAATATATGGGTCCCAGGTCTTTCTTGTTGTATAGACACTCATACTACCCTCAATCACATCCAATTGGCATTTTACACCCTAAAGTGAAATATTTATACGTACAAAGAATATTAATATTAGGATATATTGAGTTGTTACAAAGACACTGTGGACTTGTACAAAAATTGCCACTAAGCAAAAAGAGAATGTCAAAAGAGAATGTCAAAAATATGTTGATTATGTGAAGAAATCCATATTGTATAACCATCTTGATCTTGTTAGAAACCCTGGTATGCATGAATTTGCATGAACATGCACAAAAAAAACCAAACAAACTAATGTTTCACTAAATGGTAGATGCAATGCTCAAAAAAGTAGATATTGAATATTTTCTAAATTCATTGAATACCTCAAACTAAAATGATGATGATTCCTACATATAATGAAAAGTTATTTTAAAAATGTTATTTGAAAAGTCTTTTTTACATGTTCTTTCAATTTCGCATCCACAAGTGGCCAAACTTCACGTAAATATTTTTCTCTGTATTTCGGGAAGAGTGTTGCAAAGGAACTTTCCTCCAAGAGACCATGTTTATTGTCTTCTGCTGAAAATGGCTCTATTTTCCAATGATCAATTCCTTCATGATCCCATGCTAAAAATGTTTTGTTAAATATATTTTAAAAATATCACATGAAAAAGGGTTAAGGGTTAATTCTGCTCTGCCATACTAAAATTGCACCACACTAAAATCTTATATATTTGAATTTTACTAACAAAGATTGCTTTTACTGATTCCACCCATTTTTTTAGGGTTGCTAAGTGAGCCAGCCTACACATGTCAGAGTTATGGTGGACAGCCAGCATGGAAAGTATGTATAGCACAACAGTGATATGACAGGCATGCCATTTTAATGTCTTCATTTTGCATACTGTACTAGTATTTTCCTTTAAATCTCGGGCACATAATTTGCAGACATTCCAGACAATGATTGATGTGAAATATAATATATTAATGAATGCAATAAGGACACAAATCTAAAGGTTTAGGCATGTCAACTGTATGTCGTTTATACTTTAATCAAAGGCCATCTAGGAAGCAGTCAGAGTCTAGTTTTGTGTGAATTGTAAATAAATGAATAATGTTAAATTGTTTAGTCCAACTAAATTGGCATTAGTTGGACTATTAAAATCTTCACGTTGGCCACTATACATTTCATACCAAGCCATCCTGTTTCTATACAGCCAATTTTAGAAGTTATTTGAAATTAGCCTTGCTATATGTATGTTTCAAATATCAATATCATGCTTCTAAATGATACATACGTTTATCTTTTCGCCATCGATTCTTCTTGTTAGAAACTAAAATGATCAGATAAATAGGTGTCAGTATTATCAAAATAACCCGAACTGTTAGATTGCTTTTTAAATCAAATTTGAGTCACTAGAATTAATTTCTATAAAATACCTTCGGACGACGAGCTTTCTTCTTCAGCCATATTGGAAATTTAAGGTTATCTCGCTCTACTTCATGTAAGCCTGGTTATAAAGTGTATTCTCATCGCTGGCTCATCTGGTAAGAAATGGCTGCTTCATCAGACTCTGAGAAAGAACAACAAATTACTGAAATTAGTGACCAAGAACAAACACATACGCTGGATGAAAACGAGAATGAAAACCACGAGATGGATGAATCGAGTATGCAGTAATCTTCAGTTATGTTATAGTCAGGGCATGTGTTTTTGATCAATTATATGGCAATTATTTCCATCCATTTGCTTCCCAATTTGTCAGAGTTGTTTGACATCATTGTTTCATAAATACTCACGTGTAAATTGATTAGTCCCAATAAGAAGAAAAGAGATCAAGTAAAGGTTGACAACCTCTCTTGCCAATGGCATTGTATATTAGTTGGAGTTACTGCTGATATAAAAATATAAATCCTCTATGGCCACAAAAATCCTTTATTCTCATCACAAGATTTTTAAAATTAATGAACTGCAAATTGAAATACCAATCTCCAATGTTAAACTAACCTACTCTGATCAGTTACCAAGTGGTGTCACACCTGATACCCCCAAATGGCAAATGCCAATTTGAAGTTATTGTACTGTTGCCAATATTCAAGTTTGACCATGTAGAATTGAATATACAGTAAGAGGTGCCAACTTGTTTCTGAAGCCTGTAGATACAGTACCAGGCAACGTGTTGCATCCTTTATAAGAATACTTGCATGGGAATGATTTGCAATTTCATACACACTAATTAACACCTAGCAGAAAATGTTGTTTATTGAACCTCCTCATTGGCCTTTGTTGGCCATGTGTGCACCACTCACATATGTAGCACTGCTCAAGCCCTTCAGTGTAAATTATTTGTCCAAATGTATTTTGCACTCTCTTCACTCATTTTAGTGCTCTTTAAATAGGCATATTGAATTGCCTTAATTGTACCACTGATGACTTCAGATTAGACATTAAAATTCTATTTTGTGTATAGATAAGATTAATGGAAATCCAGGATGGGCGGATGCCATGGCAAGAATTTTGACCAAGCCACTGCCAGACGACAAGGTATTCATAAAGACTCAAATTATTAGCATGCAGGATGTTTTGACTCAACAGGTCACAAGGAATCTTGTGTTTTCTGAAAATTTTAATTTTAAATTTTGTAGAAAGATTTGTATAGAAACCTTTCACTTAAGGCCTATCATAGGTGGATAATTTTTATATACACTTTAAAAAAAAATTTCTATTTCAATATTCACAATTAACCTTTCTCACAATGACGAATAACCGCCATTTTTGGGGGTACTTTCAATTTTCTTAAATGCATTTAAACAATAATAGCAATGTAAGAAGCATTTTTTAAGAGTCTGTAGACTATTTGAACAATAAATTAAGCTTAAAATTATAGACAACCGCCCTGACAAGGACTTGCGTTTACAATTTAAAAAAAAGGTACCCCAAAAATGGCAGCACATTCCTCATTGTGAGAAAGGCTAATTGGCTATATTACATTATAAATTTGTTCAGCTTTTTGAATGAATGATGATTATATAATTTTAAGGGCAATTTTTTTTTCCAAAACTTATCTTTACAGCCAGCTGTTCTCATCAAGTACAAGAAAGCAGAAAGAGAGAGGAAGAGAAAACATGAAGAAGTTGCAAAGCAGAAGGTAATGTGGGTGATTTAATTCAGGATGTATTTGAACGTCTGCTGTGTGTTTTTTAGACTTGCTTTTGTACGTTTTGTGGACGTGTGCAAAATTAAAAAAAACAGTATATACTTTGGATTTACAAAACTCTCAAACCTCTTAGGGCAGGGTGATATTTTTCGTATTTTTCCAAAAAAAAAGTTTTAAACCCTTTCTTCATGATGCATTTTAATAAACAATTATACCGTACCAAATGATTCTCCCATGGTGCTGTCGACCAGTGAACTGTAATAAAAACTCCTATAGTTTAGCGCTATACTTGGTTGAAGCCAAAAATTGAATCTGTTTTTGAATCTGCTTCTCGTTCAATTTTTAAAAAATTAGCTTCACAATTTCCACTATAATCTTCATACGCCCCTTTTTTTTACTGGATTCTGCATGGAAAATCATTTACTCTTCCTATTAGTAAGAAATACGTACATGCATGTAAATAACCTAGCCATTCTCTGACAGGTTATCAGCCAGGAAAAGCACCAGGCAAGGGAACAAAACCATGTCAAACCTGCTCCAAGTAATGATGAAAAGGAGAGAACGTTAAGAAGGATTGCAACAAAAGGAGGTCTGTGTAAAACAGAATAAAACATTCATTCATTTATCTCGCATGATGCATTGCTGTGACTACTGTCCCTGGCTTGAATGCGAGTTGTGTACGATTTCCACTCGAAATTACGACCCTTAAACCCTGTCATGGAGTGAAGTGCCACAGAGTTTTATTGATTTACCCTCATTGATTTGGATTTTTAAATACCAATCAAAACACGTATATTATTTGCCCACAAATATTCCGAACTTCGTTCAGACATTCAAAAGTTTGTTATCAAGATCGAAAATTCACAATAAAATTACAATCCGTTTTGTAGTTTCTAATTGGTTCAAGATTCAAAACAATCTAATCAATATTGCGTCGTCTAAAGAGCTGTTTACATGATCCCACTTTGCTAAGATTCAGCGAAGCATAAGATGACTTAATTGACTTTGAGGTATTGAAATGGATATATAACATGATTCTTACAGTAATGTAGTCATCCTAAAACTTGTTTGGTTTCATGAAGACTCATTTTGATACCTGAAAGTCATCTCATGTTTCGTTGAATCTCGGCTAAGAGGGACTATGTAAACAGTCCCGTAAAATGCTTCTTGATTTTTTATGTGAAATGTAGTGGTGAAGCTGTTCAATGCCGTGAACAAACACCAAAAAGATCTTGATGCTAAACTAAAGACTGCACCGACTGAAGCAAAGAAGGCAAAAGGTATTCATGTCGACCTTAGTTTGATTTGTTCCTAGTTTACAACAGCTCGTAACCCACATATTTTTGACGGCATTAAAAATAGGGTTGTCAGACCCAAATATTATTGTTTGGGTCAAGTTTTTGACAGGACCGTAATTTGACACTCGATTGGTGGGCAGGGGATGAGAATTGGTCCCGTGCCTGCATGAGTGATTTCTGTATTTTACTTTGTGTGTGTAAAAATGAATATATCAATATGCACCCTGCATGAGATAATTAAAGTGCAAGACTTTACTTTAAATATAATTTATCGCGACTGAAGATAACTATATCACCTAAAATGTAAAGTACTATAGATAGAACCTTCTACAATTCGACGTTCTACAGTTCGCAAATTTTCTTGCATTTCTTCATCCAAGATTTACATTGTTTATACATGTCGTTTATTTTACTTTGAAAACGCTAACAACATTGATTTCCTCCTCCTTTTAGTACTGAAGTCAGTGTCTAAGTCAAGTTTTCTGGATATGCTTAAAAGTAATTCAAATGAAACAGTTCAACATGGAAATGATGTATGTACTAATCTTGCGATATAGGACTGCATGGGTTATGCGTACGAATCAGTGATATATGGAAAAGAATAAGTTAATAGTGGTCATACTAAATGCCTTCACCTATAGAATCTATACACTGTACTTTGGTGTACAATCTATACACTGTACTTTGGTGTACAATCTATACATTGTACACTTTGGTGTTGGGAAAATATGATGGCTGCACGCCAAAAGTCTAAGTTTATTATGCATGCAGCGTTGTATAAGTTGCTAATATTACTATATTTTACCAACTATGTTCACTTCATGCCCTATTTAAAAGAAGGTGGTTTTCCTAAAACGCCAGGATAAACATTTTTCAAGGCGTTAATTGCCAGTATACAGCCGCTTCTGTTTAAAAATCACTCTTGTTTTCTCTAACTCGGGAAACAAATTTTGTAAAAAACACGCGCTTTTCAGCCCAGTGTGGGTTTGACACGTCGGAACCATATAAAAACCATGCTGAATTTTGAGCCTAAGACAAGGCTCATAATGAAGCTACGTAGCTATGTATTTAGACTCTTTAAATGCCTAATATGCAATTACTTGGCCTTAGGATATCTGTGATTGAGCATAAAGGTGAAGAAAAGGAAAGAAAAACATTTTCGAAGCTTTTTATTTCCATCCCAGTTTCATAACAAGACCGGGTTGAAATGCCGTCGCAAAGTTAATAATATGATAATAAATTTGGGGACATGCAAGTTCGCAAAAATAAACGACGGTTTATAATTTGATGTAGGTTAATGGAAACGAAGACAAAGCATCGAAGTGGGACATTTTAAGAGAAGACTTTATGATGGGGGGTAAAATGAAAGATTGGGATAAGGACAGTGATGACAACGAGAATGAAAACGAAGAGAACCGACTGGCTGTTGATTTTGATGATGACGAGAGTGACTAAGATATACAGTTGCAAATCGTGGTTTAGTATCTCGTGGTTAGCGAGAAAGGAAATGCAGAAAAAAAGTGGATGCGGAGCAATTGATATCGACAGTGGGAGATATACCGTTTAAGTACGTATCGGTGATAGAACCAGTGAGTGGTGTTAAAACTTTCAATCTTTACTTGCAACAGTGAATGATCTTTAATAATTAAATGCTAGAGCACAGGGTTGATCATAACGCCCACTAAGTATATACGATCATGTTACATAACTTACATTAAACTCAAAGCTAAAACTTGTCGCCCCACCGAATTTCGGTCTGCGTGTTAACCCAGAACCTTATCAACAGAACCTACTTTTGAACTTAACCTGGACGTCGAGTATAGCATACAGCACTAATGCCTAAAATACCTAATGTTATTTTGTTACACATTTCATCCAAGAAAAAATAGAAGTCATGGTAGTGTAACAGCCAGGGCGCTTATATATAAACACGAGGCATTTATATTTGTAAAAAATAGACGATATTTATTTTACTTGGTGAAAAAATTGATTTTATCATAAGGTTTCAGCGTCAACTGGTAACAGCAGTCTGATTTACGCTGTCTCAAGTCAACCATGCCTGTAACCATGTATATCTTAGCTCAGAATAAGAAGTGGCATATCAGGCGCCGGTTGTTCAAAAGGCGTTTGGCTTAAACGGTGGATAAGTTCAAAATGGAAAGCAAAATTATCTATTCATTGAACAACTGAGCTAAATATATGTTCGAACAACCGGCCCCAGACGTCGTCTTCAGCGGACGTTTTTCTGCGTTTTAAGCGCATGGAGACTCGGACTCGTTGACCGCCCGCTACAAATCATTTCAAGATAGACAGGTGTGTGTGCTCACCTTTTCACCTTCGAAGTGGGTCAAAAATACACATTGGGACTTAGTATCTTTTACACATATTAAGGGATGTGTTTGAGGTCGTTCACAATCTTTCAAAGTCATCTGGTTCGGGATTCATTTAGGACAACGATCCCAAATTCTTATGTACAGAAAAATTAGGCATTGGTGATCAATGAAAAACCTCATGGAATACATATCAAGGAGGGTTGGAGCGGTTTTAGCAGCAAGGGAGAGAAAAAGATAGCTAATTTAAACTAAATTTAGCATGTCGTACTTCGAAAATTATTTATCGACTGGAATTTTAGTTATTTTTGTAAGGCAGGTCCACTGCACCAGCCACCCCAGATCAGAACTTCCACACAGATTCATTGTCGCGCAATCTTGTTTCATTGATATCTGTAATATTTTCTCTTCGTTGTACCTTGGTTGTATTCACTTGATAAATATACCCATGACCTCAAAACCCAGTTTTTTCATGCAAGTTTGATATAAGAACAATTAGTGGACGTTAAGCAAATCAACAACTGAAATCACGTATTAGCGAACAGTTGTGCTACGTATTATTATTAGCGTACTAAAATTTCTGGATTCTAATTGGTCGAAAGAAGTACAATTATTTCATTAATTGTACTGCAGTACAATAAATAATTTTGGCAATTTAAACAAAACAGCGAAAAACTTTTTGCAAAAAAGGAGCCGGAAATCTGCATATTCTGCCAGGCGCTTCGTTCTCCCGTTGCGTCCTCCCCAAGCACCATTGCGCGCTCGCACATCTTAGCCACAGATCTCTATATTACGCTGAATGCAGCCTTTATGTTTTCCAATAAAGCGCCTGGGTACTAGGCTGGATACAAACAACGAAACAGCGCTGGAGGAACTAAAAATGGCAAGAAAGACGAAAATACTGCCAAAAGTACAAAATAGTGGATAAATATCTGTCAGGACTGTATTTTTACATTTCTACAAAAACTATCGCGTTTGCAATGAAAATTACGTTCGCGATTTTATTCTGCTAATGATAAATAATCATGCGATGATACTCGCCCGGGCAGCTCGTCCAATTTTGGCAACATTTTCAAACATCACTCGTACTATTAACCCTAAATGAATTGTACTTGCCATCGCATGATAACCTATTTGTACAAATTCCGAATATTGAGAAATTTTACTGTGGAAAAAGTAGCAAGCAGAATGAAGCAAAGTACTGCATGCATGGGAAAAAAGTTGGCTATGACGTACAGAGGCTTTTGACGTATTTCCGAAACTTTACTAAAGTTTGGTAAACAGATGCTTTATGACGCCATTGGTCGGAATTATCACTATATAGCTACAGGTAGTCATATTGCTCCGTCGCAAGCGGAGCTTCAGAATTGACACCCCAGTTCCGGTGTACGAGTATCGCCATTTTGTTGACTAATTTCTGCTGATGTCAGCGTCTTTACTCGTAATTTTTACCTGTTTCCTCGGGGTAAACTATGGCCTAACGTAAACAGCAAACGGGTACGGGTATTGTATGTTTATACTTTTTACGATTATACATATATAAATTAAATAAAATACATTAGTTTTGTTTGATCAATATAGCTATATCGGGCTGCTGTGATATGATCAATATAGCTCAATAGCTGCTGTAACTCGTCAGTTTTCGCTATAATTATATCCTTTTCACTATTCTAGGGCGGATTCAAATGGACAACGGCAACGTCAAAGACGACGCGTAAAAACGAAGAGTAAATGGCGGCCACAGAATAGATATTATACAGAATACTGAGTATAATGTCTACTCTGTACGTCATGGTGGGGGATCCATATTTGGGGCCTTTTTGGGCGTATCACGCCACTTATTTGCCATTCTCACGTCGTTTTTGACAGTCCTGTCCTCAATCTAAATCTATTTGGTCAAACGCGACCAACAAAAAGCTATCAAAACTTTTGTAGTTGTGCATGGCGATAACAAATAAGATTTTTATTGTATAAGTTTATATATACTTAGTTGACCTTTCTGGCAGTTCAAAGGATATATTTGTCAGAAATGTCACAACTGATATATCCTTATCAGTAATCTGTTCCGAAATGTAATATCACACAAGACGTAAGTCTCAATGAAAATTGCATAATGATACCATTATCTCATTGGAACTGTAAACGAAGCATCTCAGCATCTCTGACAAGCTTAAAGTTTCCATTCATCACAAATTGAGGTCTGTTAAAGGTAATTCGTATGCCTTCGTTACTTGATGGTAATAACTGATCTTCATATTGCTGGTTAACATTTCAAATCATTTTGTTGCTTTTGCTGCTTTTCGAAACTGAGTCAACGTTCACACGGACGAATTTGGTGCTGTGCTCGAAATCGTCCGGTTTCCTCGCGCGAACACGAAAAACCGGTGAAATTTTTATCTATTCTTCTTACCCTATGAACACCTGAACCAGACGAATTCGAGTACAGCATCCGAAATTTCTCCGGTCCAGTGTGAACGTAGCCTGAATGTGTCGTTCATCGTTGCATGTACTGCATGCAGTCATACTCATGAACGAGGGCGCAAAGATGCAGAAGAAATTGAAGGAATGATATAATACGTACATATTATATTGTTGTATATATACGTTGTTATCTTGGTCATTTTGTTTCAGGAAGAATGAAGTTTGCTTGTGCTGTCGTGCTATTGTTGGTTGTCCATACCACTTTTTCCTCGCCAATTTTGCGGTATAACAGAAAATCCCAGGCCGTTGAAGTAAGATTTCTCTTTTTTTCCGTTACGTCGATCCAGGACTGTAGCTAAAAGCTTAATTTACACGAATTGTGTTCCCTGACTGCCCCAAAAATGGGCTATAGCCCTCCTAGCACCCCCGGTTCCTTACCCACTGCAATCTATACTATGGTATCTAATTAAAAAAATAGGTGGGTTTCACTTAAGATTAATACATAGCGAAACACCCCAATATATTTCTAGATAAATGTGATTCCTTTATAGCTATTTTTATATGGCCATAATAATACGAATAAAAATTCCTTATAGTAAGTTGTGTAATCATAATTATGTGTTCACTTGCCGTGTCGGTGAACAATGTTTTCATTGAAGTGTTTACAAGAAAAATATAAATGATAATTTTTACCCATGCATGCCGCTGCAGTAGTGAATACAAGAGGCGTTGAAGGCGTAAAGGCGTTTCTATTCGTTATCGTGCACCTGATAAACTTAGCGAGGTTCTTTTACGAATCAGCATTGGGATGACAGACTCTAACATAAAAAAAGATGAACGTTGATTCTTCCCCAATCTGAAGGCCTAACGCTGTCTGCGCTAGCGTTAAGTACACTATATTAGCACCTCCATGACGTTGCCTCCCATGATACCTAGAGGAGCTGCAAGGCTCCTAATGTAAACACTAACTAAACTAATAAAGCATTTGTTTTTAATTATTTGAAGGAAGTTGAGATGAATTCTCCACGGAAGAGAAGAGAGTTCAAAGCATCAAATACTGGATGTAATAATTGTCCTGTAGGATATTGGTAAGCATACTACTTACTTTACACTCTAATTATATATGAAATACATGCATGCAGGCTGTATCAAAACAATTTTCAAGGTAAAGAACAAAATTTACTCGAAAAACATATTTTTATAAAATAAATCAACTTTATTTCCATTTTCGCTTTTTTCAAAATGAAGAGAACCCGGTCAAAACTATGAAAAAATTAGCAAAATATTTGGCCGTGCATGTTGTGACTTGGAGTGGACATTTTTCTCAAAAACCATTCTATGGAAATATGCTACACTCTTACTGTTTCCAGACTAGATCTATGGTATGGAAATTGCATTTCGTATGAATATTATAAACTTGCAGTCGCCATACATTTTCAAAATACAGATTTTGAAAAAAAATCCAGTGAGCACACTCTGATATGCATTCTGATCAAGTGGTATAGTCCACCGATAACGCATGTTCTATATATCAACTGATATACGTATTTCACTATTTCAATCATATGTATTTTTGAAATATATATATTTTCCCTACAATATTCATTTCGGTACTTTATAATTTTGTGTTTTAGTGACTGCAGCAGCGGAAAATGCTTCTGCACAAAGAAACGGGGTTTCTCTAGTTTGATGAAGCAAGAGAAGAGATATTTTAGCTAAATGTTTCATGTTTATTTCATTGAAACTTGTTGTTTCAAAATCTTTAGTTGTCATCAGGGTTCAGTAGTAGCTATATTAATAAGGTTGTGATTTAAATTCTCGCCTTTTCGATTTCATTGTTTCACGATATCGACTGGGATTAAATACAAATACAATATAGACTTGGCTGAAAATACTATTTTTGAAAGAAGAAGGCATCGGCAAACCAAAATACTCACAGTAAGGCTGGCCTGTTTTCCACTAGGCGGAATTTTGCGCGCGGAGCGGAAAAAGCAATGAAAAATTCCACCCCGTGCGCAAAATTCCACTTAGTGGAAAACAGGCATAAAGTCGGTTTTCCACTAGCGATATTTGTGGCGCGAAGCGACTTCATTCTTTTGTATTGGAGAAAATTGTTCCAGATGGTTGAGGTTGAGAGCTATGAAACAAAAGTTAAATGTCGCTTCGCTAGTGGAAAACCGGTTTTAAGGCGTCAGCCGATTATTTTTAGAAAGTTGCAGGGAAAGAGAACTTCGCCTGCGCGGGCGAAGCGGACGAAAACTCAGTTTTGTCGAGACGCCTCATGACGTCATGATCTCACATCAGTTGGAAATTTTCGGTTTGGTCGATCGGAGCCTTTGAAACCATAAAAGCAGTCGTAAAACTCTATACCGGAGCCTTGCATGAGGAACAGTTTTAAACAACAAAAATACACCTCTTGAAGTACGAACACGTCCAAAACGCAGACCCTGCAATATCCTGTCATAAAACATAGGTAATTTTTGCCGGCAACAAAATTGATCAGCAATATTTTTCTTCCACACCTCGAGAGAATACTTCAAGCGTACTTTTGATGTGAGATGAACTTTTGAGAGTAATCCACCACCCCAGCTTAACGTGACGCATCTGACGTAATAATACACAGGAAACGTAATCATGCGTTTAATTGTACTGGCATATTTACTATCAGCTACTACCACTGCTAGTTACGTCAGGGCCCAGGGGCGTGATGAACAAGCTATAGGGTTGGAGGTGTCGTGTGATATTGATATAATGGAAAACTGAATAAACTTTTCAATTATCATACAAGGGTAAAATATCACACTTAGGGTGAGCAGTTATTAGTTTGAGGCATTCAAATAAAGCGTCTTGCTTTCAATTGGGTTTATTATAATATTCAGGCAATCAGATTCAAACAAAGGCTTGGTTTCAATAGAGGGGACTTTTTTTTGGGACGCTCTGTAGAATAACATCCGTTTTCGGCAATTTACGGCAATCGGCAATTCCATGTCCGCGCTATTTCTCGCCATCATATGCATAAACGTATTCTCAAATCCCATAAGCGTAATTAGTTGCACAGCTATTGAAATTCTAATTTATGATCTCGTGCATAATTATGGTATTTGGTATTTAGCCAACTTATTAAACGTTACATTATAAAACATACATTTATGAATATGCAGTCCTCTGATTAGGCGTTGAGCTACGACCTTAGAAATTATTTGTGTGAACCCAAGACGATTTGTCTAGGGTTTCATGTTCAAGCACAGCTAAGCCCTTGCGCCTGGTAATTGATTATTACTCAAACTTATGCAAACGTGTTATAATTGTAGTCTGTACGAATCGAAAGGCCATGTCGGATTAAAGGAATACTAAATGGTTTTCCCTGCAGGATTGCGTGATACTGCACGCGGGAAATTGCGAGGCTTTCGGAGAGCGTGAAAAAGCTTTTTCACGTTTTCCGAAAGTCGAGCAATTTTCCAAGTGCAGTATAACGCAATCCTGCACGGAAAACCATTTAGTATTTTCTTTAAAAAATAGCTACAATGAAACGACGGTCAAATTTCCCGCGCAGAGCGGCATTGTAAACTTTTCGTGTCGGATTGTCTCATACTGCACGCCTACAAATGTATAATGATGCCTGGTTACTGATTACCAGACAATTAGAAAGCATGATGTCTGGATTCTTCGATGCTCCATCGTCCCCGTGTCATGACTCCATTGCACTGGGCTCTCCATCCTTGATTGGACGCATCGGTGTGAATAATCAGGTCGAACACTGGTAGTGTGATTAAACCCTTGATGAACTGATGTATCTAGGACGAAATCCACCATTGGAGGTTTTCTTTTGTCAGATAGACTTTTGTCTTGCTCGAGAGGTTTTTGCTTTTGTGAATGTTGTGGTTATGTTGTCTCTGCAGTGCACGATAATGTAGAGGTGCCTTCAACAGCTTTGTAAAGGTCCTGGGGGCACTGGATAGGCCGAATGGCAGGCATTAGAACTCGTATGTTCTTTCTTGGAAGACAAACCGTAGATAATTCTTGTGACTGTTGTAGATTGGCACGGAAAAATAGGCATCTTGGAAGTCTAACTTCATCATGAAGTCTCCTCGTTGGATTAATTTGCGTACTGCTTCCAGCCCTTCCAACTTGAACTTTTGTGCTTGAACAAAGCGGTTGAGATTCTTCAAATTGAAGATTGGCCTGTTCGTAGACACTTATTTCACTATGAATAGTGTTGAAGTAAATTGATTTGTCTGCTCCTGTTACTGCATCTTTCGCTTGGAGTTGTGATATGGCTTCTTTTATAGAAGCCAAGTCCTCCTTCGACTTTGCTTTTGTTTGTCTTTGTCTCCACTGTATGGGATGACCCACAAAATGGACACTTGTACCCTTGCATGCACTATGAATAGAATTCAGGGATCGGACGTGATCAGTGTCCAATTTGAATAAAAGTGTTTTATGCGACCTGCTACAAGATTGTCCATTGGTTTGATGTCCTTCGGTGCTGGTAGCTGATAGTCAGCCACGTTTTGCCAAATAAGATTTGTTGTTTGGGTTCTTTCTAAACCCGAGTTGTTGTTGCGATCGGGTAAAACTATAGATCTTTGGAAGGATTGATCACGAAAGGGCTGGTCACGAAAGGACTGGTCACGAAAGGTCATTAAAACACTCTCTGGAGAAGAAAAGCCTTTTGGGTTTGGTTGCTTGTGCGACTAATTTGCAATTAGTGTTCACATGATCATATTCTTCTTTCATTATTATGAAATTGCTCGGGGAACGATGTTTGTCAGCTGGTATTTGGTTTTTCAGGGTACACTTACCGACGTCTGTCAAGTACTCAGCAAAACGCGTTTGGCGCCAACTCGGTTTAGCCGTTTAGGCGACAATATGCATTTCCCAAGCAAAAGTTCCGGAATGGATGGATGATTTATTTGAAGGATTTTGAAGCGAATTTAGTGAGTTAAACAAACCGAAGCTTGCCCGCGAAAGAAGTGGAAGTTATTACGCATGTGTAGAAATTAATTAAAATCGTGGGTTCCAGGCTGTCGCGCGTCGCGAAATGCACCAGTATTGTGAGTATCAATCGGAGAAGGGGTGATGGAGAAAGGTTGCTCGCGGCAAAAATTGCAAGTGTAAATAGGTAATATGTGAATACAAAAAAATTTGTGCTCAAGGCCTCTTTGTCAAGTTACGCAGTTTACCACCTAAAGTAGATAGATATTTGCATGTACTGAAAGACTTTTTATTTATCCAACACGATAGCCCCGTTTTCACTACGCTAAATTTATTGACGGTCCAAGACTAAAAACTCATCATCCGTGTTGGGCCTTTGGATTGGTAGCCTGAGCTAATACTAAAATAAGTGTTGTGCAGACGGGACTTATTCAGTTATAATTATGTCACTGAAGGTCAATAAATATCTTCCCATGAATTTCCGGGGCGGTAACATGTAACTGCATAATTATGTAGAAAATTTAAGTATTCCTAGGAAACACGAAATCTTGCATGTCTGCAAAGTGTTTTCATATATCTGCTATAAGATTGCTATGACACTATAAATGAGTCTATTACAAGTGAAAACTCACATATTCCTAGTCTTCAGGGAGAAATCTGAGATATTCTGTCATTCGCATCGTATAATTAAGGATGAATGACAAAATATCTTAATTTGGTCACCCCAGACTAAGAAAACTGATGCAGGTGACGTTGATGCGTCATGTTGATGTTGCGGATTTTTGTGCGCGTAACATGATGACGACAATAACACGAGTCAGTTGTCACGAGTGAATTGCGCCTGTCTTTATAAACAAGTTTCTTGGTCTTTGGTGCATAATAGATATTCAATGGCAAAATCTCGTTTTCGTACCAGATTTCATAACCGTATAGTTCCAAAGCATAAGTCACCGTAAGTCGCCTCGATAAAGAAAACTCGGTAAACAATTCCCTCGCGAGTTAGCTCAGCCCGAAAACCATTCGCACACGAGCGAAATTTGTCTCTCGAGGCGAATTTATCACGAAACCATCCGCAAACAAGAGACACATGCAGAGCTAACTGCCTCGCGAGGTCTTTAGCTCAGCTAATAGCTCTAATAGGCTTTATAGGCAACTAACAAAGAAAACTTTCATAACTCATACCATACGTATGTGTGTATATTAAAATCATGGAAGCTATTTTATATGTAAATATATAGCTGAGGTTGACCATTGACCTGTGTGATTTGTCGTCTTTACATCACACACTTGTATGTTTGCCATGTTTGGCGGGTTTGAATTGCCACAGTTGTTCAACTAATTTCAGTTCAGTTGTCTTGGCATCGCCCTTACGACTTCATTACCTATCAACACTTACATCACAAACATAACGATATTATAACTGTACTCACGTATGAGGAAGATATCTCCGATTCCATACATGCAAGTCTGATTGATGGTGTTCACTTTTACAAAGGACTATTAAACTGAGCTCACGGGTAAAGTGAAACTTGAGCACAATGGCCACTGAACGAACACCGCTTTTGAGCAATGTACCGGAGGAAAATCGATTTGTCGAAGTGAATATTCGGCCATCAAGGTGAGAATATACATCAATACATGAAAATATGAATTGCTAATCATGTCTTATTTGTTGCTAGCATTAGCTTACACCAGTTACTGACAATAGTAAGATAGAAGCGAATATCCAGAAGTAGCACAGTTTTGGTACATATTACATTTTAATCTCTGTCAAAATCCCGAAAAGTTAACTGCTCCGATAGCAATTTGATATACTAAAACGCTGGAGATTTTGTGAATACAAATAAATACTTGTCAGACTTCTAACTAGTATAGTTCTAGCTAGTAATTTCCGTTATAAACTTGAGACTTTGCATTAGCTATGTACGCTATTAAATCAAATAATTTGCTATCATCAGAAAGCAATAAATTATACTTAATGATTTTCTATACTCGTGACAGAGACTATGCGTGAGTAATACGTCTCTATCTCTATAGTGAGAATCAGCTTTTGTTTACATTAACAAACACACACAAATGTCCAGGCCCATTCCAAGCGCGCTTCTTCTCGAGAAAATGCAAAGTATTTCGCTTGTTTAATAGACCTTTTTAGCTTGTATGCAAATTAAACCATTTTAAGTCACATGGTCTGAAATGGTTAAGTTTTATTGGCTATTCCATCACCACAACATCTGAAATGGTTAATTTGTGTGCAGGCTGAAAAGGTCTATTGCGTGTGCAATCAACGGATAGGAATAAAATGCGGCTCCGGAATTGCGGAATCCGGAATTACGGAACGGAATAGCGAAAGCGGAAAAGGGGATAAAACGCAGTGAAAAGGAAAAAACGCGGAAAAAGGGGTAAAACGCAGAAAAAAAAGGATGAGACGCAGAAAAAAGGATAAAACGCGGATAATGTTTGTATAATATCTTTCCTGCGGTGTTTACATGAAACGGGATGTTTTTTGTCTTGTCCCGCGAGGGCGGGATCCCGCTTTGAGCAAGTGGGATTCCGTTTTAAGCGGGACGTTTCTCTAATACGCTAACATTGCACTATTTTATCAATGTCACTGAGCAATATGCTCTCATATAAACAGGGCCTTATTCTGACTAACCGCTAGTTCTTCCACAATTTGTCTTGGCCCCCTTTGCAAAGCCAAATCAGCGATTTTTACATCATGGGACAACGCTGACATTCCAAGTCAGAGCTTATGCCTTAACTGCTTTCTTTTACTTTATAAAAACTATACGATCTATAATATGACTTACGTTTTTTTACGATTACACTTCACTCGATGCCGGTAAATTATAGAGGTTTTAAAAGGTCTTTCGAGTGGAACTTCGGGTCTTAATTTCGAGTGGAACTTCAAATTCAAACCAGGAACAGTTGATGGAAAAGTGAGTCCACCATCGGTCCTCCGGCAGGATTCGAACATCGAGTGAAGTGCCAAAAATCATAGTTGATTTACCCGGTCCCTCACCTATTCCCGGCATTTAACAACCATGCATATACACATTAACCACGCTTACTCTTGTTGTTTTTCCGCTTCCGCAATCCCGTGCCGTAATTTCGGATTCCAAAATTCCGGATCCGCGTTTTATCCCTACCCTGCCATCAACTAAAATAATATCGAGTGATTCCGAAAAACTGGTCGTGTTCCGAAACGATTCAAACTGGCGAAATATTCTTGCTAAAAATACCTTTACAAAATTGTCAATAACATATTCGTTGGTATTACTAGTTGGCATTACATCTGAACAGTTCAATTTGTCCTGAGTTTGTGATTTATCAGGTAAATTAGTAACATCGTGAGTCTATTGGGCATATTAATTTGTTATTTAATTAATTGACAATATAAACTATTTAAATTGTCAGGTTTTACCTGGCGTTATGTTATCCGTATACAAATCCAATGAATACCGGACCAGGCCTATTCAGATGGGGGCATTAAAGTTCCGTTTTACACTACACTCAATATATATACTCCTGGCATATATATATATATATATATATATATATATATATATATAATTATATATATATATATATATATATGAACATGATTTGCTCCAAAATAAATTTGGAGTTGCAACACAGGTAATAATATATATATATATATATCATACTGGTCAGGTAACAACTGATCGCGTTTATGAACGCTATGAAATATTATATGCTTAAGGCGGATTTCCACTTACAGCGAAATCTTTCGCTAGCGAAATATTTGCATATTTTCTTTTGAATTGAGAACAGTGGAGTCGCCCTAATTTATTCATTCTGTTAAAATTCAAAAGAAAATATGTAAATATTTCGCTAGCGAACGATTTCCCTGTAAGTGGAAATCCGCCTTTAATTTTAGGCCTATTGTGTTAGTTCGTTGTGCGGTCGGTACGTATCGGATTGCAGTCATTTGCTACACAATGAATGTTTTTTTTTCTGTCTGCAGTTTGATACTAGTCTGTTCTTTCTGTTAAGTGTGCAAAGCTCCGGATGACAAATAATTATAAACTTCTCATATAAACATAAATTACATCGCTTAGTTATACTGGAATATGATTTACATCGTTTTTAAATTTTCCATTGGATGGAGTGTTGTACATCAGAATCTTTTAGTGACCATACATATTTACTAAGTTCGGTAGCATTACGAAGCTTGGGGTTGACGAAAGAGCTTTTGTGGTTTGCAAGACGCTTTTTGAATTTGTTTTCAGTAAGGCCAACGTACGTTTCTTTGCTTTGATTGTCTTCGCGGGTCACAGTGGCTTGGTAAAATAATCACGCTTTCAACTTGGCATTTTTGCTCTAGAGGATAATTAGCAGTTTGGCGGCAGTTGCAGTTGTACACTGTGTTTGCTTCATTTAGACGTGATTATGGCGTTGATGTTAGACATGCAGCTGTAGCCTAGTTTGATGGTGTTTCTGTTGAAGATCTTGTATAGCGGGTGGGTGCGCGGGAAGCACTCATCTATAATTCTTAAAAAAATGTGGCCGATATTGGTGACGACGTTGCAGCTGAACGGTGGGTTGAACCAGATGATTTTTCTGGTTCTCTCAAGTTGAAAGCGTGATTTACCAAGCCACTGTGATCCGCGAAGACAATCAAAGCAAAGAAACGTACGTTGGCTCACTGAAAACAAATTCAAAAAGCGTCTTGCAAACCACAAAAGCTCTTTTGTCAACCCCAAGCTTCGTAATGCTACCGAACTTAGTAATGTATGGTCACTAAAAGATTCTGATGTACAACACTCCATCCAATGGAAAATTTTAAAACGATGTAAATCATATTCTAGTACAACTAAGCGATGTCATTTATATTTGTATGAGAAGTTTATAATTATTTGTCATCCGGAGCTTTGTACACTTAACATAAAGAACGAACTAGGCAAACTGCAGACACAGAAAAATTACAATCACTCCATATTATTACAATCGAAGCAAATTGTAATACTTCATATTACAATCGAAGCAAATAAAAAAATCGTTAATTTCCTTGACGTGATGTTGAACCTCGCCAACGGATCATACACGCCATACGTGTAGCCAAACAACATACCGCTTTATGTAAATCACGAAAGCAACCACCCACCTGCAATCCTAAAGAATATCCCGATAACAATCAACCAACGCCTTAATGAGACGTCGTCATGCCAACAGTCTTTCGACGCAGTTGTACCCAGTTACCAACAGGCCTTGCAAAAAAGCGGATATAATTATACCCTCAAGTATATGATAAACATCTAGGAGAAGGAATGCCAAGAACGAAGAATCGAGCTCGTAATGTAACGTGGTGTAACCCACCTTTTAGCAAGCCTGTAGCAACTAATGCGGGACAAAAGTTTTTATCGATTGTCAGAAGAACATTCACCGAAATGGTCATCCACTCAAGCAAATTTTTAATAAGAATACATTCAAACTAAGCTACTCATGCATGCCCAATTTACAAGCTAAGATCAGTAACCATAACAAGGCGTTATTACGGAAGACCGATGAGGAAAAGGAAGAAACCAATCATGTAATTGCAGGGATAGGTCATCGTGTCCCCTGGACGGAGAATGCTTAACAACAATTGTATTTTACCAAGCAACAGTGGAGACGGACACAAGAAAAGAAACATACATTGGATTGACGCAGAAGAAGTTTAAAACCAGATACGTCAACAACTAAGCATCGTTTAGGGACAAAAACAAAATGAATGCGATACAACTGAGCAAACATATTTGGGAACAAAAGGACAAAGGCGTCAACTATAATTTGTGAGGTAAAGTTATCGCCAGAGCACAACCGCATACAAATGTAAGCAAGCGATGTAGATTATGCATCGCTGAGAATTTTTTTATCATTTGCAAACCCCATGTTACGCAAAGCTTTATTGTGTTTAGAGATATGCATATAAAAATAGCTGCAAAAATAGGAATATCAATAGCATGACAGGGATTAGTGAATGATTTTTGCCACAAGACGCCTGAGTAAATACAATTTTCGGCCATTAGCAAACATTAATCGCCTTTCCCTTTCATGTATGACATATCGTGGGATTAAATAAGTAATAAGGTGAAAATATTGATAATCCTCTCAGAACTAATACCTGGATAAACAGTCGTAAGTCGTCACTTATCTTAATGGTCGCATTCTTTAAAAAAGTGTGCTTGCTGTAGGCCATTCAAGTTCATATGTCAATCAATTGTGTTAAAAATGTTGCTCGGTCAAGCATGTAATAGATTACGTCATCAAAAGTTCAATTCGATAAAATAAGAGTGAAAATAGTTTAAGTTAAAAGATATTGTTCACAGACGTATTGTTGGTATATTTTACTAGTTGTTGATGATGAATATTTTAAGTTGTGAACATTTTTAAGTAATGATCGATTGAGCAGAAGACCAACTCGACTAGTGCGACAACGCCTTAAATAAACAAGATATGAGAGCTGGAACGAGCTTCTAAGACCAACCCACATTTCTAACTTACAACGCTGATTGGTTGGGTAAGGATCACCCCACTCTGGTTGATGACGTCTGCAAGTTTCCCTCAACCGTTACTATAAAAGGGCGTGCACAACACCCCAACCTTTAGTGGACTAGCGGAGTAAAAAGCATGTGAAACGTTAAGAAGCTCAACCTGACGGAACAGACGACCAAAGACAAGAACGCAAAACGACGAAGATCGAGAAGTAGAGAAGAGAAGACGGAAGAGAACATTATTGAACTTTAGTAAACCCTTGTAAAGATCTCCTACCTCGTGCATAGAAGAATTAAAATCTTATAACACCCATATGGGTACATTAAACAGTAGAAATGAACTTGCTAACAAATGCCGTCACGGAGGAAAGCTTTTATTAAAGAACATGTTGCGAACGAGTATAAATATGACCGAAGTCAGCTGGAACACACCTGACGACAGAGCACTCGCTAGAGTGCTTTCGAAACAAATTTGTAGTTTTTTATGTGTAAATGACGGTTATATACTGTTAAGACTATAAAAAGAGTGCTCAATACTTATTTAAAAAGCAGAGCTATATTATTATTTAAAATCTAAAAATTACAATGATTGTTCGCTACTCAGAGTTTCACGATCTTTAATGATCGATCATCAGGCTATTATGTCCGTTTAATTCTCTTGCTTGATTTCGTGATTTTCAATTTATCTTGAATGTAGACAGTCGATCTAACAACCGGCCAGCAATATTAAGGCTAATATACTGAAGTCATAAACATGCGTATATCATCTCTCTCATCTAACAAAGAGACATGAACAGTCAAAACCCTTTTACGTGAAAAACTTGAAACAAAGTCACTATAAAAAAGATTTGCAATACAACCATGCAGACCCCAAAAACAAAAAAGACGTAGAAATATTATATGGTTTAACCCTCCGTAATCCGTATGGTAAATTGGTTAGGACAAACGTTGGAGGCAGATTTCTTCAACTTATCGACAAACATTTTCTTCCCACAAACTCGCTACACAAGATATTCAACAGAAACACGATAAAAGTCAGTTACAGTTGTATGCCAAATGTAAAAAATGTAATTTCACAGCATAATCGGAAAGTATTAAGGAAAAACGATTCTCAGACAACCGCCCAAAGTGTAATTGTAGAAATCGGATGAATGCCCTCTAGACAACAAATGTCAATCGAGAAGCGTCGTTTACAAAGCAATTGTAACTTCTCTGGATGACAGTGTGAAGAAAATATATGTTGGTATGACAGCAAATTCGTTTAAGGAAAGATATAACAAAAATCGTTTAATTTAATTCCATATGAAAAGGAAACTGAATTGTCTAAATATATATATATATAAATATATATATATATATATATATATATATATATAATATATATATATAATATATATATATATATATATATATATATATATATGGCAACTTAAATTTAAGGAAAAAGATTTTTCCATCCACTGGTCAATTCTTAATCACTCAACACCCTATGCTCCCGGTAACTCACGTTGTAATCTTTGTATTGAGGAGAAACTTTGTATTATGAAATCAAACCATAAAAAATTGTTAAATAAGCGATCAGAGCTGTTCAAGAAATGCCCCACAATGACCGGTACAAAGCTGGAAAATTTCATCATGCGCGCGTGCAACAAGATCAATTGCCGGAAAATTTTGAATATATACTCGCTTCACTCTGTGTTTTACGTTTCTTCCGAAACGATCATCAGGCAAAAACGTAAAAAGTGTTATTTCCAGCCACAACCGACACATCATGAAATCGAACAAAACCTCGCCAGATCGTACAAATTGCTCCCAAGGTACATGTTGGCTTGGAAATTAAGTTGCCAACTTTATCAATATATATTACTAGTATAATTAGTACTTAGTAATTAGTATAATAATTAGTACTGAAAGTTGAAGCTGACCGCGCGGTAAACAATGCAGTCGAAGACTGAGTATAAACAGATTTCAGGGCTGCCTATGGTATAACAACTGCCTAAAATGTCGAAACGTCGAGAAGTGTAGTGTAAACAGGGCTTAGGTTTAGGATAGCGATTCACTCATTCGCCTTTTGGCATGACAACATCTTGCTTGTGCGAGGTCAAACTAAATATCGAGAAGCAGCCACGAAATAATTATTCTTTCTTTCAACTTGCAGTGATGAAATTATGAAGACGCCCTTAGTAACCATCAAGCAACTGGTAAGTAGAGATACGGAAAAAGGAAAGCTGATCTTCTAATAGGCCGTATGCATGCACAGTCTATATAAATATGTTATTTAAATTCTATCAATGGTTTAAAAATGATTAATGGCTGGGAGTAGATTCAGTGGAAAGGTTATTCCAAGCCTCAGCCCCCCTGTAGGCAAAAGCCTTTTTCACATTATTTGTTCTAGGATTACGTAATGCGAAATTGACTTCGTTATTTCTCGTATTATGAGCATGTTTTGAATTGGTATTGGTGAAGATTTCAGTTAAATGCATGATTTGGTAACATTTTGTTATTGACTTTAAACATAAGAAACGCTAATTGACGATCTCGTCTGCCTTGTAGGTTAGAAATCCCTGCGTTTTCCAAAATATCGGCAGATCGAATCTCATAGCTTTCACGTGTTATTATTCGAAATGCTCGTTTTTGGAGCTTCTGTAATTTGTCAAATAAATCTTTTCTTAGACAGCCCCAAACTTGCGAGCAATAATAAAAGTGTGATTGAATAATTGATTGATAATTATATTGTAATTAGTGATCTATAATCTACTATTTCTCGAAGCTTGACCTTAACCTTGTTTTTTATTATTTCGATTGTTAGAATTTCAATTTCAGCATCATTAAGATCAGATCTAAGGCGATAATTGATTGTTATCCTAACGAAGAAGCTGATACCAACCCTAGATCTACCCCTATCCTTGGAAACCATTCATAATCATTGCTATTAAACCATTTGGTATCGTGCCATTCATTCTAGTTTCATTGATTGCAAGGACATCAATGTCTTTGTTACTCATTTTGATTTTGAGTTTATTTATGTATTTATGGCTTGTAATTTTAAAGCCTTTAATGTTAGGAAAAATAAAGTCTTGATGTATACAGACATTGAGATTGATAGTGCTAGTAGTTGAGACATTTGTAGAGAATGTAGTGTCTTCAGGTTTAGAGGCATTGTCATTGATAGTGCTGGCAGTGGGGCACTTGTTTGCTTGTGGTTATAAATTATAATATAGGTAATCTAGTATATTCACACTCGGGAGATCTAGTCACTTTTTTAAAAAATCGATATAATTCTTTGCCAGAGCTGTGGTGCCCTTAATATGTAAATGTAATACCGATGCATTGAGGGAAGAGGTATCAATGTTACCGTGGGAGATAAGAGACCAATTATTAGCTTTACAAACCTCAGCCAAAGTGAACAAACCTCAGTGAATTCACCTTCTGGATTCTTGCATTTGGCTTGTGATCAGCTCTATCAGATCGCAATTTTTAACCAACCGTTCGGCATAACACATTTACTCAGGGTTTCCGCTTCTTTCGCAATTTCTTCTGGTTTCTTGTGTTGAATATCATTAGTTCCAACATGCAGTATGACAAGTTGAGGCCGGATTTCTTTCGAGTGTAAAAAAATAGGCAAGGTTAGGAGATAATCGAAAAAATAAATAACAGAGGTCTCGTGTTTACTTACTTTTGAAATGACTGTATGGGCTAAACGTGCATGGAAACTGATTGAATGGGCAATTTCCTCTTGTTTTCGTTTTGAATTTTATCTTTAATTTTTTAGTTTCGTTTCGCTGACAAAACTGATTTCATTCTGCTAACCCTCGCTACGACTGGTTCAATACTCTATGGAATAATCACGCCTGCGCAGTTTATATTCTTTGGTAAAATGGTGAACGACTTTGTTGAGTACATAATTCATGAAAACTACGACGTCGACGCCTCTCATCTTCCTGATCTCGAGGCTTCTACCACAAGGACGGCATTGTACTACGTATTGCTGGCGATAGGAAACTTGATATTTGCCTGGTTAGGAATGGCTCTGTTCGCCATTTCAGCCAAACGCCAGGTGCATAAAATGAGATTGGCCCTGTTTAAAAGTGCTATATACCAGAATATTGGATGGTTTGAGATGTTTTCCGTTGGGGATTTAAATACACGATTTACAGAGTACGTTTTTATTTATTTTATCTTACTTTACTGCATTATTCTGGGCGCCGTTGTACGATATAAATAACCCTAGAAACATAATATGATGAAGGGACTTTTATACATAACTATATTTTATCGGCTCAGGACAATATAAAAATCGTGATAAATATTGTGATATTGTGGAAATTTCACCCTAAAATGAAGGAAATCATATCTGCTGTACTGTAATTTTTAAATTTTTCTTCAGGAAGTATGCCTGTGAAACCCACTTACCAGTAAGCCCACTTTCTCAGGGGATTGGGGCCTCTTATGAGAATTTGATCCAAGCCCTAAATATTCTCTGTGTGATCCTTATAACTGTTAGTGTTAAAAAATCAACATCAAATTCGAATGATGTTGGTGAAATTTGGTCAACCCTGCCCATAAAGAGATTGAATGTCAATTGGGAATTTTGTCCTGTTTTTATTCACTGCCAAAAACTGTGACTATTGTGAGTAATATTTTAGTACGTTATTGGTGGTAAATCTATTAAACTAAACTAAACTGATTAACTGAACTAATTTAATCATGACTCGTTCACCACGCCCCTGGTTAAGACTTAAGACGTAAAGGAACTGTTATGACTGTAATCATCACTATAATAACATAGTCGCTTTGTTTTCTTTTGTTTCAACCACTGAGCTTTAATTCAACAGGGATGTTAAATGACGTATTTCCCCCAAGTACAGGGATGGGAGATATTTAGTTCTAAACGTACCTTATCAATATATTGATGAGGGACGTTCACAACTGAACCGTTAATAATAAACTGAAACAACGAATTCAATTACACACAACTTTCAATCGCTTTATTCTTCGTTCGCTAAAACAATTCAATGGAACGGAATTCAGAAACAAAAAGCTTCATTTAATTCCTTATTCCCTCGCTCATCATTTTATGACGAAATCAAATCAACACATAGCTTTGAACGTCATTAGCGCGGTTATAAATATTCTAATCACTGAACCATTTCGATAAAGAGATCTAAACAAAAGCATCTAATCCATTGTTTTTCCCTCGGCGACCATGTTATTACAATAAACGCATGCTTTTAGGGATATTAGTGTTCAAATGTACACTTAAGCCTCGGGAGGTTTAGTAAAAGTTTAGGAGGAGGTTTACTAAACCTCCCTCGGTTTGCGGGATATTTAATCACTACAGCTAGGGTGTATCAAAAATCAAGGTAATCCAACTTCAACACGCTATTGTACGCGAACTACTCTGTCCATGAACGAAATTTTTTCATATTGGTGTAAAACATAGAGATTTTAGTGGCATCCCATTCATTGTAATCAATTTTATAGAATTAGGTTATTATGTTTTTTATCATTATAACTAAAACGACCGTAAAGGCGGATTTTCACTTACAACAAAATCGTTCGCTAGCGGAATATTTGCACATTTTCTTTTGAATTGAAAACAGTCAAGTCGCACTAATTTATTTATGATGTTAAAATTCAAAAGGAAATATGCAAATATTTCACCAGCGAACGATTTCGCTGTAAGTGGAAATCCGCCTTTACGGATCAAACAGCGCGCCTGTCCATGCTCTAAAGTTTATATATCATGATATTTAGAGAGATGAAAAGAATATCTGACGGTATGGGTACAAAATTGAGTCGGATTGTATCAAGTGTTGTGTGCTTCGTTGCTGGTTATACAATTGGGTTTATATTCTCTTGGGATTTGACTTTGATACTACTGGCTACGTTTCCACTCTTGGTTCTTTGTGGAATTTTTATGACCAAGGTAGGAACTTTTGTTGCACGCTATAGGTAATCATGCGATGGCGAGTACAATTCGGGATTAATAATACGAGTGGTATTCTTGCACGTTTGCATGGTGACATTTAAATAGGTAAACTAAAGTTAGTGCATTTAAATTTAATTAAATTTCTAATTAATAGCGCGAGAAAACAAATCACGACGAACGTGATATTCAAGTGACGTGTAAATGTGTTTTCAAGTAATTGCACGTACAAAGATGTCCGACTCGCGGGTCGGCACTTTGATCAAATTGCACTGATGAAAGCCCGGATTAACGGACCGAAAGCTGTGCAGTATTAAATATTTAAAAAATAGAAAACATTTTCCGTGTTTCTATACAGTTTTAGTATACACCCGACTATCGTCTATTACAAATCCTACATTCTGATTGGCTACTCAACCATCGTCTATTCGTGATGGTGCACGGTTGGGAAAATTTCGCTAGCGCAACCGTAAAAAATTGAATTATTTTTCGGTGTGATTGCGGTGTATTGATTATTTTCCCGAAATTAATATATCTAGATACAGGGTGTATACTAAAACAATTAGACAACTCGCCTTCGTTGTCTATGAGCGAATAGTCAACTCAGGCTTCGCCTTCGTTGACTATTCGCTCATAGACAACTCGGACTCGTTGTCTAATTGTTAAATAGAAACACGCGTGGGAGTTTGGGAGAACGAGAAATAGGGCGAGTTTTTCCACGTTATTTCGAGTTCTCCCAAACTCCCACAAGTGTTTTTATAACTGTATAGAAACACAGGAAAAAATGTTTTCTATTTCTTTTATAATATAACTCAATAAAAAGATTTTGTACAAATATATAATTCGATTCAATTACAAATACTCATTACATTACTTCGCTTGACAAGTTCGGCGGGAAAATTCCCGTGTTTCTATGCAGTTTTAGTATACACCCGACTATTGTCTATTACAAATCCTACATTCTGATTGGCTACTCAACCATTGTCTATTCGTGATGGTGCACGCTTGGGAAAATTTCGCTCGCGCGACCGTATAAAATTGAATTATTTTTCGGTGCAATTGCGGTGTATCGATTATTTTCTCGAAATAATATATCTAGGTACAGGGTGTATACTAAAACAATTAGACAACTTGCCTTCGTTGTCTATGAGCGAATAGTCAACTCAGGCTTCGCCTTCGTTGACTATTCGCTCATAGACAACTCGGACTCGTTGTCTAATTGTTAAATAGAAACACGCTTCTCGACCAATCAGCACGCGCGTACTATAAATGTTATATTATAAACTCACGTGGTGTACACCACCTACAAGCTAATTTTCTTAATACGAATGATGTTTGAACATTTCGAACTTTTGTGCATGGCGGTTCGGCGAAAATTTTCAAACCGCATCCCGAGTACTTTTAATATCTGATTGTACGAGCAACACCGCTTGATTTTTTGTTTATTATTATCAAGATAAAATCGTCCTTTTTAGAACAAAATGTTCCATGCATGGATGATATTTTCTTGTGAAAACATATGCAGTCCTGTCAGACTTTCACACAATATTTTGTACTATTGCCAGTATTTTCGCTTCCAGGGCTGTTTAATTTGCTCCGCCATTTTGTGAATTAATGATGGTAATAGAACGAATTTAAGCCGTGCAAGTAATGCCAAAACTTAATTCGTTCTATTACTTATTAAATAATTTTATATTATCTTCTGTTATCTAAAGATATTATTTATTTTTTTTATCACAACAATGCTTGGTAAATAGTGCAATTCTGAATTATTAAAACTATTAAAATACTGAATGGTGATTGGCTAGTTGTATATATTAGAGTGATTATTATTGGCTATGAGCAAGGGTGCAATTACAACTCGCAAAAAGTGCAATTAATGCTTAAATCGCACTCCTCTTACCCATTAAAATTGCAGCATTTGGTACAGATTACAGAAGATATATAAATAGTGAATAAATTGTACTCCTCTCGACAAATAAGCATCCAGTAATTCTATATGATGCTGATAATAAGGCCAGTAACACGATTGTTACATGTGTCTTGTTTTATACCCTCTTGCTGCAGAACTTTCGCGATTCCTAATATTTTTTCACTTGCCAAATAAATTTCAAAGCTTTAAATTCCGTGTGCAAGTCATTATAAATTGGCCTGTTGGAAAATACACGTCAGCTAGATTTTGAAAATTCACCTTTCAGAATGAAACCAGAGCTATACAGATTCGAAACTCGCAAAAATGAGCAATTACTATAGATGTATGCAAGTGGAAATCGAACTTTATTCACTTACCGTAGCGGTCATAGCGCAAACAAAAATGACCATGCATTCAAAATGTACCATCACCTTATGACAATGAAAAGCTTTTTTTCCAGATGACTGGTTTTTACACAAATAAAGAATTGATTTCCAATGAGAGAGCTGGAAAGATTGTAGAACAAAGCGTTTCATCAATCAGAACAGTCGTTGCGTTTGGTGGAGAGCATCGTCAAGTAAAACTGTAAGGTTTTGTTTTATATCTACAACATTTTCGTAATTTTTCGCTCGATTTTCTTTTCAATTGTGAGAAATCGACCATGGCAGATTCTCTTCACCGGTCACAATGGAAAAGAAAATCGATCGAAAAATTTCGCCCAGTGGTAAACCGCCTTAAAACCTTTGCTAATATGATCAACCAATCACGCATGACTGGTTTTATTACACGTATTTTTAATTGGCTGAGCTAATTTGAATGTGCATTGTCCGTTAATATTTTCTAAACATAAAAGTTTTAGCTACATGAGAATAAGCAATAATTTTATTAGTCATCGATCTATCATGAGCTATCCAATATACCTATACCTGCATAGGTCTCGAGATAAAGTTGAGTAATTTAATCAGTGATTCTTTTAAAGTATGTAGCTAGCTGTGTATGTACAATTCAAAATTTATAGATACGACGATAGTCTCGCGGATACGTGTAAATACGCAATAAGAAAAGCTGTTAGTGTTGGATGTGGAATGGCAGCATTTCAGATAGTTCTCTTCGTTGATTATGCTGTGTCAATATGGTAATAAAATTAACTGATTTATTCTTGAAAATATAGAAGCCGTTAAACAAAGGCTGAATGAATGGCAATCTTTTAAAGTGCCTATATCACTCGTGGAATCTTTATGCATTTGAAAAGAATGTAAAAAGTTAGTTATTAATATATTAAAAAGTTTTTTGATTTAGTGCAATAATTTTGAAGATACTAGCCTTTAAACTACCTGAAGTTCCTGAGTCCCAGGCTCCTGTAAACAATGGACAGTTTCAAATTAAATAGCCGTGTTCAAACCCAGGAGGTTGGGACTCAGGAACCGCAGGTAGTTTAGAGGCTTGTATCTTCGAAATTATTGCACTAAATCAAAAAACTTTTTTAATATATTAAATGACTTTTTACATTCTTTTCAAATGCATAAAGATCCCACGAGGGATATAGGCACTTTAACTGTTGTAAAATTCTTGGAAGGACCAGTGGCGTAGGAAGCACGCTAAATGGGGAGAGGAGCATATTCATATATTCATGTTCCGTATGATCAAATTCTTTTCAAATCGGGTGTCTTTATACAGTTTGTGAACTAAAATATATGAATATGCACTCCTCCCATTTATCGCGCTTCCTACGCCACTGGAAATGAATAAATCTTCAGATATTTACCATTTTAACGGGAATTTTTCAGGCAATTTGAAAATCATTATCTGCTGGATAGCACTATTTATAGGGGCTGATTACATGGAGCCTTTTCAGCCCGATTTACAGGCTAGATTTAAATTCAGCCCGGAATTGTTGTGAAATGCCAATAAAATATACCTCGCGATTATATGACAATAATTTCAGCTACCCGAGCTGAAACTTAGTGTTGTTGTCATGTAATCGTAAAAAACTTAAACCCGGACAGAAAAATTCGCCTTGACAACGCTATTTCGTTTGTTTATTTCATTTTTATGTGCAATCATAGTCCCTTAAGTTATTGTCATTCGGGATTTTAAAGCGCTCGAAGAATCGAAATAGGTCCACTGCCAGCTTTTACAAACTCAGCCCAGGCTGAAATTTCAGCCCTGGTCTTAAAATAATTCTGACGTGTCGTGACGTGTGATTGTTCGCTACTCAGAGTTTCACGATCTTTAATGATCGATCATCAGGCTATTATGTCCGTTTAATTCTCTTGCTTGATTTCGTGATTTTCAATTTATCTTGAATGTAGACAGTCGATCTAACAACCGGCCAGCAATATTAAGGCTAATATACTGAAGTCATAAACATGCGTATATCATCTCTCTCATCTAACAAAGAGACATGAACAGTCAAAACCCTTTTACGTGAAAAACTTGAAACAAAGTCACTATAAAAAAGATTTGCAATACAACCATGCAGACCCCAAAAACAAAAAAGACGTAGAAATATTATATGGTTTAACCCTCCGTAATCCGTATGGTAAATTGGTTAGGACAAACGTTGGAGGCAGATTTCTTCAACTTATCGACAAACATTTTCTTCCCACAAACTCGCTACACAAGATATTCAACAGAAACACGATAAAAGTCAGTTACAGTTGTATGCCAAATGTAAAAAATGTAATTTCACAGCATAATCGGAAAGTATTAAGGAAAAACGATTCTCAGACAACCGCCCAAAGTGTAATTGTAGAAATCGGGATGAATGCCCTCTAGACAACAAATGTCAATCGAGAAGCGTCGTTTACAAAGCAATTGTAACTTCTCTGGATGACAGTGTGAAGAAAATATATGTTGGTATGACAGCAAATTCGTTTAAGGAAAGATATAACAATAAAATCGTTTAATTTAATTCCATATGAAAAGGAAACTGAATTGTCTAAATATATATATATATAAATATATATATATATATATATATATATATATATATATATATATATATATATATATATATATATATATATATATATATATGGCAACTTAAATTTAAGGAAAAAGATTTTTCCATCCACTGGTCAATTCTTAATCACTCAACACCCTATGCTCCCGGTAACTCACGTTGTAATCTTTGTATTGAGGAGAAACTTTGTATTATGAAATCAAACCATAAAAAATTGTTAAATAAGCGATCAGAGCTGTTCAAGAAATGCCCCCACAATGACCGGTACAAAGCTGGAAAATTTCATCATGCGCGCGTGCAACAAGATCAATTGCCGGAAAATTTTGAATATATACTCGCTTCACTCTGTGTTTTACGTTTCTTCCGAAACGATCATCAGGCAAAAACGTAAAAAGTGTTATTTCCAGCCACAACCGACACATCATGAAATCGAACAAAACCTCGCCAGATCGTACAAATTGCTCCCAAGGTACATGTTGGCTTGGAAATTAAGTTGCCAACTTTATCAATATATATTACTAGTATAATTAGTACTTAGTAATTAGTATAATAATTAGTACTGAAAGTTGAAGCTGACCGCGCGGTAAACAATGCAGTCGAAGACTGAGTATAAACAGATTTCAGGGCTGCCTATGGTATAACAACTGCCTAAAATGTCGAAACGTCGAGAAGTGTAGTGTAAACAGGGCTTAGGTTTAGGATAGCGATTCACTCATTCGCCTTTTGGCATGACAACATCTTGCTTGTGCGAGGTCAAACTAAATATCGAGAAGCAGCCACGAAATAATTATTCTTTCTTTCAACTTGCAGTGATGAAATTATGAAGACGCCCTTAGTAACCATCAAGCAACTGGTAAGTAGAGATACGGAAAAAGGAAAGCTGATCTTCTAATAGGCCGTATGCATGCACAGTCTATATAAATATGTTATTTAAATTCTATCAATGGTTTAAAAATGATTAATGGCTGGGAGTAGATTCAGTGGAAAGGTTATTCCAAGCCTCAGCCCCCCTGTAGGCAAAAGCCTTTTTCACATTATTTGTTCTAGGATTACGTAATGCGAAATTGACTTCGTTATTTCTCGTATTATGAGCATGTTTTGAATTGGTATTGGTGAAGATTTCAGTTAAATGCATGATTTGGTAACATTTTGTTATTGACTTTAAACATAAGAAACGCTAATTGACGATCTTCGTCTGCCTTGTAGGTTAGAAATCCCTGCGTTTTCCAAAATATCGGCAGATCGAATCTCATAGCTTTCACGTGTTATTATTCGAAATGCTCGTTTTTGGAGCTTCTGTAATTTGTCAAATAAATCTTTTCTTAGACAGCCCCAAACTTGCGAGCAATAATAAAAGTGTGATTGAATAATTGATTGATAATTATATTGTAATTAGTGATCTATAATCTACTATTTCTCGAAGCTTGACCTTAACCTTGTTTTTTATTATTTCGATTGTTAGAATTTCAATTTCAGCATCATTAAGATCAGATCTAAGGCGATAATTGATTGTTATTCCTAACGAAGAAGCTGATACCAACCCTAGATCTACCCCTATCCTTGGAAACCATTCATAATCATTGCTATTAAACCATTTGGTATCGTGCCATTCATTCTAGTTTCATTGATTGCAAGGACATCAATGTCTTTGTTACTCATTTTGATTTTGAGTTTATTTATGTATTTATGGCTTGTAATTTTAAAGCCTTTAATGTTAGGAAAAATAAAGTCTTGATGTATACAGACATTGAGATTGATAGTGCTAGTAGTTGAGACATTTGTAGAGAATGTAGTGTCTTCAGGTTTAGAGGCATTGTCATTGATAGTGCTGGCAGTGGGGCACTTGTTTGCTTGTGGTTATAAATTATAATATAGGTAATCTAGTATATTCACACTCGGGAGATCTAGTCACTTTTTTAAAAAATCGATATAATTCTTTGCCAGAGCTGTGGTGCCCTTAATATGTAAATGTAATACCGATGCATTGAGGGAAGAGGTATCAATGTTACCGTGGGAGATAAGAGACCAATTATTAGCTTTACAAACCTCAGCCAAAGTGAACAAACCTCAGTGAATTCACCTTCTGGATTCTTGCATTTGGCTTGTGATCAGCTCTATCAGATCGCAATTTTTAACCAACCGTTCGGCATAACACATTTATCAGGGTTTCCGCTTCTTTCGCAATTTCTTCTGGTTTCTTGTGTTGAATATCATTAGTTCCAACATGCAGTATGACAAGTTGAGGCCGGATTTCTTTCGAGTGTAAAAAATAGGCAAGGTTAGGAGATAATCGAAAAATAAATAACAGAGGTCTCGTGTTTACTTACTTTTGAAATGACTGTATGGGCTAAACGTGCATGGAAACTGATTGAATGGGCAATTTCCTCTTGTTTTCGTTTTGAATTTTATCTTTAATTTTTTAGTTTCGTTTCGCTGACAAAACTGATTTCATTCTGCTAACCCTCGCTACGACTGGTTCAATACTCTATGGAATAATCACGCCTGCGCAGTTTATATTCTTTGGTAAAATGGTGAACGACTTTGTTGAGTACATAATTCATGAAAACTACGACGTCGACGCCTCTCATCTTCCTGATCTCGAGGCTTCTACCACAAGGACGGCATTGTACTACGTATTGCTGGCGATAGGAAACTTGATATTTGCCTGGTTAGGAATGGCTCTGTTCGCCATTTCAGCCAAACGCCAGGTGCATAAAATGAGATTGGCCCTGTTTAAAAGTGCTATATACCAGAATATTGGATGGTTTGAGATGTTTTCCGTTGGGGATTTAAATACACGATTTACAGAGTACGTTTTTATTTATTTTATCTTACTTTACTGCATTATTCTGGGCGCCGTTGTACGATATAAATAACCCTAGAAACATAATATGATGAAGGGACTTTTATACATAACTATATTTTATCGGCTCAGGACAATATAAAAATCGTGATAAATATTGTGATATTGTGGAAATTTCACCCTAAAATGAAGGAAATCATATCTGCTGTACTGTAATTTTTAAATTTTTCTTCAGGAAGTATGCCTGTGAAACCCACTTACCAGTAAGCCCACTTTCTCAGGGGATTGGGGCCTCTTATGAGAATTTGATCCAAGCCCTAAATATTCTCTGTGTGATCCTTATAACTGTTAGTGTTAAAAAATCAACATCAAATTCGAATGATGTTGGTGAAATTTGGTCAACCCTGCCCATAAAGAGATTGAATGTCAATTGGGAATTTTGTCCTGTTTTTATTCACTGCCAAAAACTGTGACTATTGTGAGTAATATTTTAGTACGTTATTGGTGGTAAATCTATTAAACTAAACTAAACTGATTAACTGAACTAATTTAATCATGACTCGTTCACCACGCCCCTGGTTAAGACTTAAGACGTAAAGGAACTGTTATGACTGTAATCATCACTATAATAACATAGTCGCTTTGTTTTCTTTTGTTTCAACCACTGAGCTTTAATTCAACAGGGATGTTAAATGACGTATTTCCCCCAAGTACAGGGATGGGAGATATTTAGTTCTAAACGTACCTTATCAATATATTGATGAGGGACGTTCACAACTGAACCGTTAATAATAAACTGAAACAACGAATTCAATTACACACAACTTTCAATCGCTTTATTCTTCGTTCGCTAAAACAATTCAATGGAACGGAATTCAGAAACAAAAAGCTTCATTTAATTCCTTATTCCCTCGCTCATCATTTTATGACGAAATCAAATCAACACATAGCTTTGAACGTCATTAGCGCGGTTATAAATATTCTAATCACTGAACCATTTCGATAAAGAGATCTAAACAAAAGCATCTAATCCATTGTTTTTCCCTCGGCGACCATGTTATTACAATAAACGCATGCTTTTAGGGATATTAGTGTTCAAATGTACACTTAAGCCTCGGGAGGTTTAGTAAAAGTTTAGGAGGAGGTTTACTAAACCTCCCTCGGTTTGCGGGATATTTAATCACTACAGCTAGGGTGTATCAAAAAATCAAGGTAATCCAACTTCAACACGCTATTGTACGCGAACTACTCTGTCCATGAACGAAATTTTTTCATATTGGTGTAAAACATAGAGATTTTAGTGGCATCCCATTCATTGTAATCAATTTTATAGAATTAGGTTATTATGTTTTTTATCATTATAACTAAAACGACCGTAAAGGCGGATTTTCACTTACAACAAAATCGTTCGCTAGCGGAATATTTGCACATTTTCTTTTGAATTGAAAACAGTCAAGTCGCACTAATTTATTTATGATGTTAAAATTCAAAAGGAAATATGCAAATATTTCACCTAGCGAACGATTTCGCTGTAAGTGGAAATCCGCCTTTACGGATCAAACAGCGCGCCTGTCCATGCTCTAAAGTTTATATATCATGATATTTAGAGAGATGAAAAGAATATCTGACGGTATGGGTACAAAATTGAGTCGGATTGTATCAAGTGTTGTGTGCTTCGTTGCTGGTTATACAATTGGGTTTATATTCTCTTGGGATTTGACTTTGATACTACTGGCTACGTTTCCACTCTTGGTTCTTTGTGGAATTTTTATGACCAAGGTAGGAACTTTTGTTGCACGCTATAGGTAATCATGCGATGGCGAGTACAATTCGGGATTAATAATACGAGTGGTATTCTTGCACGTTTGCATGGTGACATTTAAATAGGTAAACTAAAGTTAGTGCATTTAAATTTAATTAAATTTCTAATTAATAGCGCGAGAAAACAAATCACGACGAACGTGATATTCAAGTGACGTGTAAATGTGTTTTCAAGTAATTGCACGTACAAAGATGTCCGACTCGCGGGTCGGCACTTTGATCAAATTGCACTGATGAAAGCCCGGATTAACGGACCGAAAGCTGTGCAGTATTAAATATTTAAAAAATAGAAAACATTTTCCGTGTTTCTATACAGTTTTAGTATACACCCGACTATCGTCTATTACAAATCCTACATTCTGATTGGCTACTCAACCATCGTCTATTCGTGATGGTGCACGGTTGGGAAAATTTCGCTAGCGCAACCGTAAAAAATTGAATTATTTTTCGGTGTGATTGCGGTGTATTGATTATTTTCCCGAAATTAATATATCTAGATACAGGGTGTATACTAAAACAATTAGACAACTCGCCTTCGTTGTCTATGAGCGAATAGTCAACTCAGGCTTCGCCTTCGTTGACTATTCGCTCATAGACAACTCGGACTCGTTGTCTAATTGTTAAATAGAAACACGCGTGGGAGTTTGGGAGAACGAGAAATAGGGCGAGTTTTTCCACGTTATTTCGAGTTCTCCCAAACTCCCACAAGTGTTTTTATAACTGTATAGAAACACAGGAAAAAATGTTTTCTATTTCTTTTATAATATAACTCAATAAAAAGATTTTGTACAAATATTATAATTCGATTCAATTACAAATACTCATTACATTACTTCGCTTGACAAGTTCGGCGGGAAAATTCCCGTGTTTCTATGCAGTTTTAGTATACACCCGACTATTGTCTATTACAAATCCTACATTCTGATTGGCTACTCAACCATTGTCTATTCGTGATGGTGCACGCTTGGGAAAATTTCGCTCGCGCGACCGTATAAAATTGAATTATTTTTCGGTGCAATTGCGGTGTATCGATTATTTTCTCGAAATTAATATATCTAGGTACAGGGTGTATACTAAAACAATTAGACAACTTGCCTTCGTTGTCTATGAGCGAATAGTCAACTCAGGCTTCGCCTTCGTTGACTATTCGCTCATAGACAACTCGGACTCGTTGTCTAATTGTTAAATAGAAACACGCTTCTCGACCAATCAGCACGCGCGTACTATAAATGTTATATTATAAACTCACGTGGTGTACACCACCTACAAGCTAATTTTCTTAATACGAATGATGTTTGAACATTTCGAACTTTTGTGCATGGCGGTTCGGCGAAAATTTTCAAACCGCATCCCGAGTACTTTTAATATCTGATTGTACGAGCAACACCGCTTGATTTTTTGTTTATTATTATCAAGATAAAATCGTCCTTTTTAGAACAAAATGTTCCATGCATGGATGATATTTTCTTGTGAAAACATATGCAGTCCTGTCAGACTTTCACACAATATTTTGTACTATTGCCAGTATTTTCGCTTCCAGGGCTGTTTAATTTGCTCCGCCATTTTGTGAATTAATGATGGTAATAGAACGAATTTAAGCCGTGCAAGTAATGCCAAAACTTAATTCGTTCTATTACTTATTAAATAATTTTATATTATCTTCTGTTATCTAAAGATATTATTTTTTTTTATCACAACAATGCTTGGTAAATAGTGCAATTCTGAATTATTAAAACTATTAAAATACTGAATGGTGATTGGCTAGTTGTATATATTAGAGTGATTATTATTGGCTATGAGCAAGGGTGCAATTACAACTCGCAAAAAGTGCAATTAATGCTTAAATCGCACTCCTCTTACCCATTAAAATTGCAGCATTTGGTACAGATTACAGAAGATATATAAATAGTGAATAAATTGTACTCCTCTCGACAAATAAGCATCCAGTAATTCTATATGATGCTGATAATAAGGCCAGTAACACGATTGTTACATGTGTCTTGTTTTATACCCTCTTGCTGCAGAACTTTCGCGATTCCTAATATTTTTTCACTTGCCAAATAAATTTCAAAGCTTTAAATTCCGTGTGCAAGTCATTATAAATTGGCCTGTTGGAAAATACACGTCAGCTAGATTTTGAAAATTCACCTTTCAGAATGAAACCAGAGCTATACAGATTCGAAACTCGCAAAAATGAGCAATTACTATAGATGTATGCAAGTGGAAATCGAACTTTATTCACTTACCGTAGCGGTCATAGCGCAAACAAAAATGACCATGCATTCAAAATGTACCATCACCTTATGACAATGAAAAGCTTTTTTTCCAGATGACTGGTTTTACACAAATAAAGAATTGATTTCCAATGAGAGAGCTGGAAAGATTGTAGAACAAAGCGTTTCATCAATCAGAACAGTCGTTGCGTTTGGTGGAGAGCATCGTCAAGTAAAACTGTAAGGTTTTGTTTTATATCTACAACATTTTCGTAATTTTTCGCTCGATTTTCTTTTCAATTGTGAGAAATCGACCATGGCAGATTCTCTTCACCGGTCACAATGGAAAAGAAAATCGATCGAAAAATTTCGCCCAGTGGTAAACCGCCTTAAAACCTTTGCTAATATGATCAACCAATCACGCATGACTGGTTTTATTACACGTATTTTTAATTGGCTGAGCTAATTTGAATGTGCATTGTCCGTTAATATTTTCTAAACATAAAAGTTTTAGCTACATGAGAATAAGCAATAATTTTATTAGTCATCGATCTATCATGAGCTATCCAATATACCTATACCTGCATAGGTCTCGAGATAAAGTTGAGTAATTTAATCAGTGATTCTTTTAAAGTATGTAGCTAGCTGTGTATGTACAATTCAAAATTTATAGATACGACGATAGTCTCGCGGATACGTGTAAATACGCAATAAGAAAAGCTGTTAGTGTTGGATGTGGAATGGCAGCATTTCAGATAGTTCTCTTCGTTGATTATGCTGTGTCAATATGGTAATAAAATTAACTGATTTATTCTTGAAAATATAGAAGCCGTTAAACAAAGGCTGAATGAATGGCAATCTTTTAAAGTGCCTATATCACTCGTGGAATCTTTATGCATTTGAAAAGAATGTAAAAAGTTAGTTATTAATATATTAAAAAGTTTTTTGATTTAGTGCAATAATTTTGAAGATACTAGCCTTTAAACTACCTGAAGTTCCTGAGTCCCAGGCTCCTGTAAACAATGGACAGTTTCAAATTAAATAGCCGTGTTCAAACCCAGGAGGTTGGGACTCAGGAACCGCAGGTAGTTTAGAGGCTTGTATCTTCGAAATTATTGCACTAAATCAAAAAACTTTTTTAATATATTAAATGACTTTTTACATTCTTTTCAAATGCATAAAGATCCCACGAGGGATATAGGCACTTTAACTGTTGTAAAATTCTTGGAAGGACCAGTGGCGTAGGAAGCACGCTAAATGGGGAGAGGAGCATATTCATATATTCATGTTCCGTATGATCAAATTCTTTTCAAATCGGGTGTCTTTATACAGTTTGTGAACTAAAATATATGAATATGCACTCCTCCCATTTATCGCGCTTCCTACGCCACTGGAAATGAATAAATCTTCAGATATTTACCATTTTAACGGGAATTTTTCAGGCAATTTGAAAATCATTATCTGCTGGATAGCACTATTTATAGGGGCTGATTACATGGAGCCTTTTCAGCCCGATTTACAGGCTAGATTTAAATTCAGCCCGGAATTGTTGTGAAATGCCAATAAAATATACCTCGCGATTATATGACAATAATTTCAGCTACCCGAGCTGAAACTTAGTGTTGTTGTCATGTAATCGTAAAAAACTTAAACCCGGACAGAAAAATTCGCCTTGACAACGCTATTTCGTTTGTTTATTTCATTTTTATGTGCAATCATAGTCCCTTAAGTTATTGTCATTCGGGATTTTAAAGCGCTCGAAGAATCGAAATAGGTCCACTGCCAGCTTTTACAAACTCAGCCCAGGCTGAAATTTCAGCCCTGGTCTTAAAATAATTCTGACGTGTCATAAACACAGCCCGGGCTGAAACTTGCCATGTAATTGAAAAATACTTAGGGCTGAAAAGACAACATGTCTATGTAATCACCACCTTAGTACAACCTGCCGGTTAGGCAAGCTGCTGACGTTTTGAAAACCATCGTATTTTGGCAAATATGATTTAACTGTGCTGACGTGTTAACTGTACATGCAATTATTTTTCAGGTATATAATAAAATTGGCCAGAGAAAGCGATAAAACACCTGGAGATGCTTTAACTGTATGTTTACATTTTTTTTTACATTTTACCCGGTTTGAATCCGAGATAGCTTGACAAAAATTCACCTTACAAGGCATGGTTGCAGAAACAAAGCCTTTCAAATTTCAAGAAGGTTGTTCGATTTAGGGCACTATGATAGACAAGTGATAAAGAAGGGGAATTTCTATTACTCCGGAGATTTTGCCACCTGATTTCTATCGCAAATATCATGTTCTCTTGAACTCATATCGCGAATCTTAAAGACAATTTACAGCGGCCTCAGTGCATCTGTTCTGCTCATAACATTTGTGGACTCCATGATCTAGAAATTGCCGAAATCTCTTATTCATTTAGATATAGTGAACTAAAATATTAATAAATATTCTGACAGGACAGGATACTATAATATATAAAATGATATGTAAACACAGCGTTTGCTTACATTACCGACTGTAATCTACCTTTAACTTTAGGTCGTTGGGTCTATCTCAGAGTGTTATACTGTACAATCACAGTGTAACATATAATTTATAACCTTTCTTAAGGTATTTTTTGCTGTAACAATGGGATCAATGATCCTTGGACAAACAGCAGCAACATGCTTTCAAGCAATTACCTCAGCCAGAGGAGCGGCATTCATCATATTCAGAATCATCGATCAGGTAGGTAGTAATGTATGTCATAGAACATTTTTGCGCGATTCTCGGATATCGTGTGCTCAAATTCGATCATGTTTTCAACCTAATTATTTGGAAGAATGTACTTCAAAATACGAAAATGTAAATGTTTCACCTTTTTCTTCATTTTTTTGATGAGCGACATAAGTCGCGTTTACACTACCGTCATGCACTACGTGGTTTGACCTGACCTGGACCAGGCCTAGACCTAGGTGTGAACGTTGTTTATCTGGCCTAGACCAGGCCTGGACCTGGCCTGGTGGGCTGAAGACCAACCTTGTTAAAACCCATTCACATTACAAGGTGAATGGTTTTTACCTAGTCCTGATCTTTTTTCAACTTAGTAGTATGATTCATAAAAGTATTACCACTTTTCGGCGTGTTTTGAGTCTTTTTCCAAGTATTTTGTCAATAATGTTGGTCATCCGGTAATAGTGTTGGTCAATAATGTTGATCATCAACAAGAAAGACAGTGTGGACGTGGCAAAAATTACCTAGACTTGTCCAAAACCTGATCCAGGTCAGATCAAGGCCTCTAGTGTAAACACGGCTATAGACTCAGAATTGTTATTTGCAAATCTTTAACTTTCCCCACCTCTTCTCAAAGCGTGTTCAGCTAAAAATTGAATTTAACATGCATAGGAATCACAAATTGATGCTTCTTCGAACGCTGGAGAAAAGTTGGAGAATGTTGTTGGCAACATAGAATTTACTAATATCCATTTTGCTTACCCACGAAGACCTGAAGTTGAGGTGAGAATTGCTAAATGTACAGATTTGCTAAATGCACAAATTCTCAATGTTGCATTTTTGTTGCAGTTGAATAACATTCCATCATCTCCGCAGGTTTTAAAAGATTTTAATCTAAGCATACGAAGTGGAACATGCGTTGCACTTGTAGGAGAAAGTGGTTGTGGGAAAAGCACAATTGGAAAATTGCTGCAGAGATTTTATGATCCAGGTGAAGGCAGTGTAAGTAAAATTCTTCACACTTCCCGAAGATGACATTATTTTGTATGTGTAGGTTATAGTCACGTATTCCCCAGATAAAATCTAAAACAATATACCTTTGCATTATATTTTCTTCATATGATTTTTCGGGAAATTTCTCTTTATTCCGCCGACTTAACAAGGCATCTGTAGCAGAGACGCCGGAATGAGGCGAGATCAAAGGGGAGGGGGGGGGGAAGATCTTCATGAAATGGTACTTCTGCAGCAGCGCATACTAGAACTTCGTATCGTCGTGTTTTCTCTTTCTAAGATAATTTCGGTGTCTGGATGTTTTCCACCGGACGATTGTGCAATCCTTGACGATCGTTCAATTCACTTCTACTTAAGATACAGAATGTAGTACTTTAAGAAGAAAAAGCATCTTTGCCTCCCTTGCCCCTGCACGTAAAAGTCAGGGGGGAAACTACCCCTGCTGCCTCCCCTGTTTCGGGTTTTGCCGTCAAAGTCCATCATCAAAATGGGACAATTTTCTCGAGAGTTCATATATATTTGAAAAGATATTGAAATAAATTCCTCTCAGCCTTTCTTCTTTTTTCCAAGGTTCTGCTTGATGGTGAGAACATCAAGGATCTTAATGTCAGTCACCTTCGTGGCAATATTGGTGTAGTTGGTCAAGAACCATCCTTATTCTCAACAACTATTGCAGAAAATATCGCTTTCGGTCGTGAGGGAGTTACACAATATGACATAGAAAAGGCTGCGAAGATAGCAAATGCTCACGACTTTATTCTTCGTTTCCAAAAAGTAAGAAAGAACTACGCGATCTTTTCCTTGTTTACTTGATGTAACTTGATGTAACAATAACCAAATATATGAATTCTTTAGATGGGTCCCTTTTCATTCTGCGCATCGAGTGGCGCTAATGCGAAAGAGAGTTTTGGCTACCAGAATTTCATATTTTCGAGTGCGATAGCCTATGAGCCCAAACCTCCTTCGTAATCCCACTTAATCCAACTATCAAATAATCCAACAGTTTCTCTTGTGATAATAAAAAAACGATCATTTTTAATTAAATTTAAGAAGCATAGTCGTGCGTAAAAAAAAATTTTCGTTTCGCCACTAACCAAAGTAAAAAGTGCATATCGATATGTAATCATTAATACGTATGTAATCATCAATGTTTTGCTCGTAATTATTGCGTCTATTGTGATTGTGCTGTTCTGACTGCACTGTCTGTAATATTGATCAGAATAATCAATACCACTTTGAAAGTAATAAATATCAATAATATCGTTCACACTTTCAGGGATACGATACATTATGTGGTGAACGCGGGACACAAATGAGTGGTGGTCAAAAACAACGAATAGCTCTTGCTAGAGCTTTGGTTGGCAATCCTAAGATCCTAGTGCTTGATGAAGCCACATCTGCTCTGGATTCGGAGACTGAAGCTGCCGTACTAAAAGCTATACGCAATGTAAGTTGTAGGATATAAGATTAACCTGTAGGAAGATATTGTTTACACGATATTGTTTTTCCGAGCATATTTCTTTCTAGGGACATAGCGAATGAGCTGGGATTTATTATTGGCCAACTTTTATTATGACCGTCCGCGTACAGTTTTTACTTTTTAGTGGCCGCCTTCTCTACGGAATTTTTAGTGATTCTAATTTTTTGGATATCGTGTGATTAATATAAATAATTAGGCCCAGAAACCAAATGACATCAAAATAACACAGATGTAGGAAATTGTTCAACATTGTTCGAACCTCACCCACTGTTCACTAATTGTTCGAATCCCACACCTCCCCGATTGCCACGCCCCGGTGTTTTCCTGTTCATTAATTTGTCTGCTGGGAAAGGTTTAAGAATACAACCTATGCATAATAAATGTTCCGTTTTCCATCATTAGAAAAATTGTTTGCGCTGCCCCAAGTTAACGTTTTTAAACCTACTACTGTGTACTTGGTAAATCGATCGATATATTCATCCTATTGCGTTCTTTTAAACTAAGCGCGGCGAAGTAACGAGTCGATATCATAAATATAGTCAATGTTTACCTGTTGTTTGCCGGAAATTATATTATACAGCAATGCGAGAAGGTTGCACATGAAAAACCAAGGTAACATTGTCAGCAATTCAGTAAGCATTTTGACATCCCTGCCGAATCCTCCATCCTTCGTTAACTGATGTGTTTCTATATTTCTATATAGGATGGAGAAGAACGCACGACAATAATTATTGCTCATCGACTTTCGACAGTTCGCGACGCTGATGTTATTGCCGTCATAGATGAAGGGCATGTGGTTGAAGCAGGAACACGTGAGGAACTTATGGAACTTGATGGACTATACAGCAGTCTTGTAAAATTACAGGTGAGCTCATGACTCATTTGCGGGAACCCAACCCCTAGTCGGGCGTGCTCAGCAATAAGCTTAAAGTGGTTGTGAACTTAATTTTCAATTTTCATAGCAATTAAATTTTGAAAGAAGAGCGAAAGGAATTGAGCATTGAGTGTAATGGGGCAGAAGGGGAAGAGAGAGAGGGGAGGAGGGAGAGGGGAAAAGGGAGAGGAGAAGAGGGAAAGAGGAAGAGGGAGAGGGGAAAAGGGGAAGAGAAAGAGGGGAAGAGGGAGGGGGGAGAGAGGGGGGGAAGAGGGGAAGAGGGAAAGAGGGAGAGGGGAAGAGGGAGAGGGGAAGAGGGTGAATGGAAGAGGGAGAGGGGAAGAGGGTGAGGGGAAGAGGGAGAGGGGAAGAAGGAGAGAGGAGAAGAGAGACAGGGAGAAGAGAGACAGGGGGGAGGAAGGTGGATTGGGTCGTGGTAAAGCGGGAAGTAAGAGAGTGGGAGAGGGGAGACGAGAGGTAATACTGCCACAGAATAGCTGTAGCGATAGTTCAGTAAGCCAAATTCAGGATTGACTGAAATGGTCTTAAATGCAGCAGGCGAACTACGATGACGATGCTGACGAGGACGAAAGCAGTTTTGATGAAAAGCATTACTTTCAAATATCTGAAGGTATTACTCTTGATAGTTTTATTAATAGATTAATTATCCATCTTCTGTAATCACTGTCAAATACTTCAATTTGATTGGTTTACAGGAGTGCGATTAATCATTAATCGCACTCTTGGTGAGCTGTAATCGCACTCTTGTTCACAGCCAATGAAATTCAGCATAGCTTTACAAGTAGCCAATCAGCATTCAGGATACAAAATAAGAATTTGTTTTCTTTTGGGGCGCGAAATTTTTAAAAATGGAGGAATTTGACAATGATTTTGAAAATTTTGACCTTTTAAATGATATATTTGCTGAAGAAAATGACCAGAATTTTTGATTACAGAAGATGGATAATTAATAAGTAATAGAACGAATTAAGTCGTGCAATTAATGCCAAATCATACTCGTGCTTAACAAATCAACCTCCCGCTGCGCGGTCGGTTGATTTTGTAATCACTCGTATGATTTTGGCATTAATTGCACTCCTATTCGTTCTATTACCATTATTTATTTTCCTTAAATAATCTCTTTGACTTTGTACATACCCAAGGTCGTAACTAGGACGATAATTGGGGGGGGGCTGCAATTAGAGAAGAAATCCGGGAGGAAGGACTGGATATATGAATATTCACCCCCACCCAGTTACAGTGCCCTGCATCGGGTCATGGTAAATGTCACGGCCAGAAAATATGCTGCTCCCAAAACTGACATAAAAGATATAGTTGAAGTATGGAATACACATTGGTTATCCCGAGCTTTATATTTATACTTTTCACTATATTTGGATTCATAGATGGTGCACACAAACTAGCTTCTGTAGTGTCCACAATCGGTGAATCTCAAGTCAGAACGTTAATGGTAAGAATGTGGAACCTGTCTGTTAGTAAATGTATATAAAAAAAGAGTGTCCACAATTATTTTGTGCACGTTCACTGACACTGACATGATTGATTGTAAACTAAACTAAACACAGTGAAATGAGTGACATCCCAAATATTTCGATTCATGACTCGCCCTTACAATTTCTCGTTGAATCTCTGTCTAAGATTCTAAGATATTTTATTTATAAAATTAAAGGTTGATAACTCCGACGAAATAAAACCGATATCGTTCGTTAAAATACTGAAATGGAACTCTCCGGATTGGAAATTCATGTTTCTTGGTTGTTTTGGTGCTATGTTGTATGGTGCTTATCCATTCCTGTATGGTATTACTTTTGGTGAAGTACTTCACGTACGTAAATGCCATAAATTATGATGATTTTGGCCTGCTTGACAAGGTTGGCGGAAAAAGCAATGAAATAAATAGGTTGATTTCAGCAGGTTTTTATATTCTCTCTAAATACCTCTTAGGCCTTTAAAAAACACTTTTTATAAGGGTTTACATAGAATATTGAGAGGACTAGAGTAATCATTTGAGTCGAAAATTCAGGTCACCTAGGCAATTTGCCCGGAGCTGTAAGCTTGCAACCCCCCCCAAAAAAATGCTAAAGATATAAAACGAATTGTGGTTGGAAGTTTACCGTCCTTTTTCTAAAAAAAATTATTGAATTTGGATAATTGTAAAAAATATCATTCCCAAAAAGAAGGAAATCACCTCAACTGTACTGCAAATATCAAACTAGCCTTCCATGGGGAGTATGCCCTTAAACCTTTCTTGTGTAATTCACCCCAGATGAAGCTCCTGACGACACAGTGTTGCTTAAGTTAAAAGTGGTACCAAATACTTCAAATTATACTATTTAAACTAATTTTGCTATTTCTGTTTAGTTCTCGATAGTTTTTAATGGTAGTTTTGAAAGGATTACACTGCAAAAGTAAAGGATTTTCTATCTATATAGCCAGTTTTCCAGCGTCCATAGAGCATCGTTCAATTCCGTTTAAACAAAAACTTGCCTCTTGTTTCATTTTCTAAATTGCCGTCAAAAATCCACGAAGCACATGTTTTTTTTAATTTTTTGTTATATTTTTCGTAATATTCAGTTATTATTTCACTGTACTCGTTGTTATGTAGACGATGAGGTACAATCCCAAAATTGAAGAAGAAAACGAGGCGATGCAACGAGATGCAGATTTTTACATTTTTTTCTACATCGTTATTGGAGTGGAAAGTGGACTAGGAATATTTTTACAGGTAAGATAATTCATCCGAGAATCAGGAAAATTTTTCAAAGTATATCAAGTGTTGTATTTACATTTGCAACACGAAAGGTCGATTGTTTATATTTCCATTTGGGTCATTTATTGGACAAGGATATTGGCAAGAATATTGTTTTCTTCCTGCTTGACCTTGAAGCATTTTTTTTGTGAAAATGGGAAAAATAGCAATGCCAATAACAATTTTATTCATTTTTCTTTTCATTTCCAGAACTGGTGTTTCTCATCCTCGGGCGAAGCACTGACAAAACGATTGAGAAAAAGAGCACTTTCCGCTGTTCTGAGACAGGTAACCTAAACTATATGTATAATACTTAATCGTAATCGGTACTTTGATGTCATGAAATGTACCTGTGGTTTCAAAGGCTCCTTATTTTACAGGACATGGCTTATTTTGACAACCCTGGCAACGGAACTGGAGCGATATGTTCTCTTTTGGCCACCGAAGTGTCTTCGATTCAAGGAGTAAGTAGCTGAATCTAACATAATGTAAGAAGTATAGTTATCAATGAATGGAGGGAAATGGTAAAATATGAAGGGAAAAACGTGTTGAAGACTTTATTATGGTAGTATTTAACAGAAGTCCGAATTCAGTAAAGCTTTTGGAGCTATAATCATGTTGTGAATTGAAAGTGCGAGAAAAAGGTGAAAAGATTTGCGAAGAGGTTTTTTCGAAAGTAAAAACAAAAATGGGGCGGAAAATTTTTGAATGAAAAATCTATACTTAGGAAAACAAACCATGAAAGAAAGGAGAAACTATGAAACGAAGAAACTGAAATGGTAGAAAGAAAGAAAATTTAAATTATGTAATGTTGGAAGTAATAAGGGAATGTGAAAATGCAAAGATGCTATTAGGGTAAAGATAGGACAAAATTACGTCGAATGTTGAGGTGAGCTTATACCACATCAAAACATGATTGTGCATTTCTTTTCAGGCGACAGGTCCACAACTTGGTTTAGTTGTGTCAGCTCTGGTTACCACAGTTGGTGGTCTGATAGTTGCTTTCAATGCCTCCTGGCAACTTACTTTAACGATGGTGGCTTTTTTCCCTATTATTCTAATCGTCGTGCCTTTAATAATCTATTGCCTCCGAGGAAACGACTGCGATAAAGCAGTCGCTTGTTATGCTGAGGTAGGTGCCATACAAACACGATGAGTGCGTAAACATCCTCTATAATTATACTCTTTGTACTCTATCAATTTGCCACTTCCTTTTTTTTACAGGTGGTTGAAGAATCTTTCACCAATATAGAGACTATCGCATCATTCAATCGTGAGAGTGAATGTTTTGCGAAGTACGAGGAAGCAGCGATTGCAATGCACAAGTAATGAATTGGTGCTTTTCTTTCTATGCAGCGCTATATTTTTCTAACGTTTATTAAAGGAAATGTTCTTGAAAAATGTGAAAATGTGAAAACATCAGATATGATCACAGGGGGGGGGGGCATAGCTACCTATTGTATTCTTTTTAAATGTTATAAGTCTTCTTTATAACACCTACCCCCAGAGTAAAGATAATCTTTATTTAAAATTTGGGTTCTGTTGGTCAAGTTTATTCCGTTAAACGGAAACGAAAACGAAAACGTATTCTTGGGGGGGGGGGGTTTCCCCAGTCTTTTTGTGAACTTGACCAACAAACTCTGTCGCCAACGTAAAATGATATGGTAATCAGGGGCGTAGGAACCGAGGGGTCACCAAACGTGCCCTTTTTGTGATGAAGAAGGCCTTTTTGGAGAAGCTGTAAATATTATTTTAAAATCGAAGGTGCCTTTTTGTTTCCTACGTATGCCCACTTACACGTGCCCAATAATTTGTAGAGCATAGATATACACAACACTAGTGGTGTCCTTGCAACTTTGGCAATGAAACAGCCCCTATACATATTTTTAGCTGCCCTTTTTATTAACCAAAAGTGCCCCTGGAAGCTTGGGCCCCCCAATCTCTGGATGCTTCCGACGCTCCTGATGGTAACAATATTAGTGAGCTTAAGCAAGCGAGGTTTTTGACAACACAAACGGCATGAGTAACGCCAAAAGACTGGGTCAAGGATTGTGAAAAAGACTGGGTCAAGGATTGTGATTGGTGAAAAATAAAAACTTTACTTCCGGTCAACGTACGTGTTGTCAAAAGCGTCACTTGCTTAAGCTCACTAATAATAATTCAAAGTCACCCTCAGCACGATATCGTAAAGCAATATATTTTTATAACGTGCGACGTTTTCCCTTTTAGAAAGGGCAAGAAAGATAGCCATTGTTTGGGTGTTCTTGCAGGAACACTAATGGCGATAATCAATCTTAGCTTTGCAGTCGCTTTTCGCCTTGGTGGTTATTTAGTAACAGAAAAGGAAGTCACACTAAGAGATATGATGAAGTAAGCCTCTTAATTCAATAGATTGTTTTCCCCTACGTCATAAGACTGCCATATTGGACAAGGCTTTTCAGATATGTCAGAGCACCCCGTTACCAGGTTTCCAACTCATACGCGGCTACAATATCCAATATGGCGACCAGACGTGAGTAGTATATATTTTATGCATTATTTTCTTTGAAACCATGACTAAAAGGGTCAGAAGTGTATAAGACATATACCACACATATATAAAAAATACACTTCTTATGCCTGGTTGCAGTATTTGATATTGTGACAAGGTGCTCTGGCGCGTCTGAGATAGCCTTGACCTGCCATACTGGTATACATTTGAAAAGAAAATCCTTAAATAAAGGGCAAAAGAACTCTGATGGGCAAAACAACTTTGAACATACATGGCCGCTTTGACGATATGATAAAATTTTATCATCAAGTTTGACAGTTGGATAGGAATGAGTGCAGTCTCTCATTTATAAAATATTAAGACTATTTTGATTCGCTATATTTATAAATGAACATGAGCTGTAGTTTATGTTGAAAGAAATAAGAAATAGATAAATTTCAGCAATTTTAAATGAAGTATTATACCTATAATTATGAGCAAAACCGATGCAAGAAGCAATTGTAACCTCTCCTTTAAAGTTCGTTACAAAAAAACACCTAATGTCGCTGTCACAAGTGCAACTTTCATATTTCGAGTAGGCTGGCCTATGAGCAACTCATTTCTTTAGAAATCGAATATTATCACAGTCAATAAACACCGAAATATTAACATTGCGGGTATTTCTCGAGTACTAATGCAACATCAAACTCTATTTTTTACAGATCGATATTTACTGTAGTGTTATCGGCCATAGTTGTTGGTAATGCCATCTCCTCTGCTCCAGATTATGTAAAGGCTAAAAGAGCAGCGGAAAAATTATTTCATCTTTTTGAAAGAATCCCCTTTATTGATTCGTATTCAAATAGTGGAAAACTTCCGGTACGTTTCCTACCACGTAATTAATTAATTATTACAGCAAAGTAGATCACTCCTGCCTATTTACTGGATTTCACCCGGTATAGATGGAGTCATCAGTCATAGACCCGTTTTCTAGATAAAAAAGCTTTAAGGAAAGCAGGTGGTCTGCAACATGCGCCATCTTCTCATGAATTTTTTAAAAACATGTGTAAAACATTATTTGCATCTCAAATCGTCACTCAATAAGAAATCTCAAAATATTCAAGGATTAAGTAAAAAAACTCCTTCTTGTTTTTTAAAAAGATGTTTGCAACCATGGCGTCCAAAAAATATTTACATGACGTCATATCTGAACAAACGATTGGCCGAATCCCCTAGTAAAGTACAAAAGTCATACCCAAAAGCGTTTTGCAAAGACTTAACTAAGGCTCCGTCCACACGTATCCGGATATTTTTAAAAATGGAGGTTTTTTATCCGTCATGGCCTTGCGTCCACACGCCTAACCGGCGTTTTCGGCAACCGAAAACGGAGGTTTTCAAAAACGCTCTCCAGAGTGGAGTTTTTCCAAAACGCCGGGTGCGTTTTTACGTGTGGACAGTTTTCGAATTCGATGACGTTTATAATCGGACCCAGTCTATATATAAGCGGTCATTAATAGCGCATGTTTTGTATCTCTTCAAGATGGTGAACTAAAATTGCTTGGCTGTTTTACTTTGGCCTATTTCATAATTTCAAGTCCAATAGCATGCATTCAGCTTCATGTTACTATGCTAAACCTGCACGGACGGGGGTGGACCCGGTCCATACGTATCCGAATATTTTTAAAAACGGAGGATTTTTTCTCCGTTTTTGAAAAAATTCGCATCCACACGAAGCGTATTCGAATCGTTTTTGCCCGTCCACACGTATGTAACAACAAATTCTAATTAGGCCTCGTCCTAAATGCGCACACCTTGTTTCTTTCCATTCATTCCTGTTACACCATTTTCTTGGGATGTCTTTTATGAATAGATATTTCGTTGTTTACCTTGTAGTTTGGTTTTTCTTTGACAAGTGGATTAAATTTTCTGTGAACAAAAAATCAAAGATAAAATGTCATAGGCGTGAAGAGAGTGTATTCATTATTTTAATCCTGTTTTTTTAGGGTCAATGTCGTGGTAATTTATTCCTATCCAATGTTATCTTCAGATATCCTTCACGACGTAATTATAAAGTCTTACGTAGTTTTGATGTGACAGCTCAGTCAGGACAAACTATCGCCGTTATAGGGACGAGTGGTTGTGGCAAAACCACAATGATGTCACTTATTCCACGATTCTATGACGTCAATGTTGGAAGTGTGGTAAGCAAGCCCTATATAGTTATGATGCACATGCAAGCGAGATTTATAGTTTAGCATTTTTGTTTACACACATGCCCCACGGGTTCAAATAATTTTGTGTGTGATTGTGCCATGCCGTAGATTATCAGCGGTATAAGAATTCCATTTTTAACACAAATCTTAAGATTTGGGCAGGGATTATGTATTACGAATTGTAAACCCTTAACAGTTAATGTCGGTAATGATAACTCTCGGTTAAACGACACGCCGTTTTACACGCTGGTGCAATTTTTCTAGTAACGTGCAATGCAATTATAATTTTTGAGAGATGTAAATTTGGCAAACGGAAAACTTTTGTGTGTATAAAATACTTCAGGGATATGTTCTTATACACACATTTCGAAAATGCTTAATTCACTATTTTACATCTCTCAAAAGAAGAATTTCTTTGCAAGATAACATGTTTATAACGCGTGTTCTGATTAAAAATTTTATCTCACTTATTGAGATAAAACTTCGAACATTGCTGACCTTAATTGTTCTTGTTATTTAAAAAAATCAAGTACTTCATGGTTTCCTGTGTTTGGTTTCCCGCTCATTGGGAGAGTTGCTTGAGTTAAGAAACGTTTGCGGCAAACGCAAAACTGCTAATAAACTTTGTGTTTTAACAATTTAACTCCACTATCTTAAAGTGCGCAGCAATTTCGCTAAATCACAAACGTAAGAAAGCAATAGGCTATTTCTGATGGATTTAGTAAAGCAGTAAATTTACTAAATTTTTGCGCTGTAGCTATATATGTAATATGTTTCACGTTTGCCGTATAAAATGTAATGCTTGAACGGCTGTGGTTGTGTGCAGTCGTGAGGTGTATGAAGTTTTAGACGGAAAACGTGAAAAACATACGGCAAAGCTGAATTTGCAGCCTTGCTAATCCATTAGAAATGGCCTACTCTCGCAACATTCCCGCGTGTTTTGCCCGTCGCTTGCCTTGTCAACTGCTTGGGCAGGTTTCTACGAGAACTCTTACGCTGTTACGCAGTTGAAATATACCCGCTGTATATTCAAAACATGCATATCCATTACAATTTACAAAGGTATTTTGCAGCCAGTATTCCTGTCCTACACTCATTCTTTTCAGTGCATCGACGGTAATGACGTCAAAGATTTAAATTTACATTGGCTTCGAAGTCAGATCGCTATTGTATCACAAGAGCCAGTCTTGTTCGACATGACAATTAAAGAGAATATCTCTTATGCTGACACCACAGGAAATCTATCTGATACTGACATTATTAAAGCTGCGAAATTAGCAAATATTCATGAATTCATCATGTCTCTACCAAAGGTGAGAAAATTCATTCGAAATTCGAAACATATCTAAATCTGTTTTTGAGCATTTCTCAACAAATGTGAAGTTTAAATGTGACCAAAAATGTATAATATCACGCCCATACAACATTCGAGAGTGGCATTTTCTTAGACTGATTTAAATTTTAAATTGTCCTTGAATCAACAGCGGCTACGACTTTGCACCTGGTTTTTGAACTCCTATTTATATATAGTAGTCCGAAGCTATAGGTAATTAACTATAGGTTATAGTAAAAAGTCTTTCAAAAGATTTTTTATTTGAAAGAATGTATGTAGGCTTGTTAATTACTAATCTGCTGCTAATCGACTGCTCCAACCTTCTTCAGAACATTGTTATTTTGCTAATATTTTGCTCATTACAACACGTTCAAGGGTTATGACACTGTAGTAGGCGACAAAGGAACGCTTTTATCCGGAGGTCAAAAACAAAGGATTGCCATTGCACGAGCTATGGTTCGCGACCCGAAAATACTCCTCTTTGACGAAGCTACCAGCGCGTTGGACGCTGAAAGCGAAAAGGTAACTATATCTATTCATGTTTATTGGGTCACACGGTGCAATTTTTCTTGCAACTTGCAATGCAATTATACTTCTGATATATGTTAATTTGGCAACTACGTAACTTTTAATGTTTATTACACTCCATAGACGTTTCTGACACTTTGAAAACTATTGACTAATTTACATCTCTTAAAAGTAGAAATGCATTGCGAGTTGTAAAGTTTTCCATAGCGAATAACGAAAACCTTGGGAATACCACATTTGATAAAGAAAGTGATGTTGAACATACGCCTTTTCCTATTGTCTTAGTTAAAACGTAAAAATATTATGCTATTGATATACAATGGTTAACATGATCCTTGGTTCTCTCACCTTCGATCGTTAATCCGTTACTTTTCGCTTAAACAGTTATACTTACCCGGGATAATTTATAATTGAAAAAGGAGGTCGAATTATCCCCGTTCACAGATTCCTATTCACATAACTGTAAAGGTAAAAAAAGGCCCGTTTCTAACGTCGAACTTTTCATGTGCCGAACTTAGTGTCAATGGGCTAAAGTTCGTCTGAAACAGGCTTAAACAATCGCCTGGAAAAAATCTCTCAGGGAAAAGGTGATATGCTACTATTCAATTCAAACCCCAACCCAGCCCTGTTACACAATTTTCTTGGGACGAATGGAAAGAGACAAGGTCTGCGCATTTAGGATTGGGCCTAAGTAAATATGTCAAGATTATCAAGATTCTCACCACTTGCTGAATGCGAGTATAAGTATATAAAGCCCACTTCATTTATTTAACAGGTAGTTCAGAATGCTCTGAGAAAGGCATGTGTTGGAAGAACAACCATTGTAATTGCTCATCATTTATCAACAATCCAACACGCAGATGCCATTATTGTAATGAGGAAAGGAAAGGTAGCGGAGCAAGGAACACATAATCAACTACTGGCGTTGAAAGGAATATATTATACGTTATTCAAAGCTCAGTCATTAGCTGTACGTTCGACATTTTAACCACTGGCTACTGCATACTTGTGTTTATACAGATGTTATCGAAGTATAGGTAACTGTCTCTAAACAAGTACGTAACTGTCTCAGCCTCTAAACAGCAATCGAACACTTTTCAGGGATGATTGTACGAAGCCTGTTTAGGTAAACGGTGGATTAGCCAAAATTATACAACACTTTCATATACATGTCGCTAACGATTGAACATTTGAACTTCAATCTGACTGATGGTGATCTCGAGCTCATATTTTAGCCAACCAGCACTCAGAATGGTTTGGAAATAGACATCCATTAATCCCCGATTATTTATTTTGTTATTTTTTATGAAACTAGTCGTAATTTGGTGATTATGCTTAGTTGTAAGAACTAATATATAGGTCTGACATAAATTTGAAACTAAAATAAAATATGTTTCAAGAGATGTTGAGTTGTTTCAGTCGAAAAAGATTCTTTTTCGACAACTAGTCCCAGTCCTTAAAAATGAGGTCTACAAAATAAAACAGATGCATGGCTGCGGTCGACCGAATAGAAACCGCAGACGCCCGCAAGGGAAATAATAACCGAACGGAATGTTATGAACAGCTGAGAACGACAACATAATAATCCAATAAAAAACATCATAAGAAATGTCTGTCAGACAGAGATAGGCCGAGGTTCAACCGCGATCAGACCGAGGTTTGACCTAGGTTCTATCAGTCTTACCACCGCAGAGATTCCATGAGAGAACACGCATGCGCTGCGCTGATCATAACACTTTTTGCTGGACACCATTTTCGTTTGCTGATCGTTTCGAACAAAATTTTCTTCAAATATCTTCCTTTTTCGGACACATCGAGTTTCAATCGATACTAATCCAGCTATTTGAGGTAATTGTGAATAACTCTTGACTGGTTTATCCGCGAAATATTTTCTGGATAGAGGAAATATCCCGCTGTGAAAATCATGGACGAGATCGAAACCAGCGTGATTTCGAACCAGTGCTCGTCCAGTAATGATTTTTCTGGTTCGGCGATGCCAAGTACAAATGGAAAAGAAGAAACCTTGATCGAGACCTGTGGTCGAGGGAAGAAAGCGAGCGAGAAACGACCTCGCAATGCAGAGTGTTAAAATGTGATCTCATCGTATTTCATATTTTATACATACTTAGGGCCACGAGTGGCCGTGAGTTGTTGTTAATTGTTTGTTAAAATAAAATGGCGAAGCACACTGTCTTATTTATCTATCTGAATCCCCATCATGACAGAAAAGCCGAGTACATCCACTGGCAGTACGGCCAGTAGAACGAACAGTTTAACAGGTTATGGGCCCAGGATCCGGTTGTTCAAAAGCCGGTTAGCTTAACCCAGGGTTAACTCAAATTTTCACATCAATTTTTTTAATCGCTTGTTTATGAGGTTGAACATGTTTTTTCATAAATATTTTGTAGATCAATAGAAGTCTTATTTTGTAAAGTCTTGAAACAAACGGCGGTGCAGAAGCATATAAACCAAAACAGCGGAGTAAAATTTAACCCAGGGCTAGCGCTAACCCAGCTTTAAACAACCGGATCCAGATGAGAAATTCCTGGAAGATATAGCAGACTTTGTTTCGATGGAGATGAGAGGAAATATGAATAATGGGAAATAAAATTCCTCGGTAAACTGTATTATCTACATGTTGGACTTTATAGTGAAATAGAAAACACTGATTCAGTTAATTATACTAGTGATTTAAGGTGGCTCCCTACAGTTTTAATTAAGAATATTGAAAACTAATGATTTAGATTGAAATTTTTGGCAGGAAATTTCTTGCTAAACGAAATGAAATTTTCCAGATATATTAACCAACATTCTAACAGTCGAAAATTGTCTTTGAGTATCACGTCATTACCGTTGTTATGGTAACAATGGCGATTCAATATGGCCGTCATTTTACCTATTCACGGATTTTACTCGAAAACAAGTTCGGTTATTTTATAAAAAGTTTTCTTACAAAAAATGGGAAATTTGAGCAAGTTTAAAAAAATTCTATGGACCCAAAAAATTTAAATAACGAAAAATCACGTTTTTTAATTTTTAATAATTTTGGCTCTATAGAATTTTTTTAACTTGTTCAAATTTTCCATTTAAGAAAACTTTTTATAGAATTAAAAAATTGGGGTAACCGAACTTGTTTTCGAGTAAAATGCGTGAATAGGTAAAATGTCGGCCATATTGAATCGCCATTGTTAATATATCTGGTTGGTTAATATATCTGGGAAATTTCTTTTCCTTAGCAAGAAATCTCGTGCTAAAATTTTAGATCAAAACCACAAGTTTTCAATATTTTAAAAAATTGTATGGAGCCACCTTAACATGATTAACAAAGATTATTTTTATCCCTGCACTCGGCAAAATCTTAAAATACTGAATTTACTTTTCTTTTCAAACAAACCTTCAGAATTTGGCCGAAAAAAGGATATTTTCAAATTTCACAAACACAAGAACAGAAGATTAGAAAACACGATTTTAGAGGGGAACTCCACTCCGAAAACAAGTTTGGTTTATCTGAAAGATAATACCTTGAACAGATTGTTCCTGAAGTATTTCGGTCTAATTCTTTATAGTAAAGCAGAAGTAAAGCAGTAAAGCAATTCTTTATAGTAAAGCAGAAAGAAACAATTATCGTGGGTGACTTTAATGTCAATTACAACGATTCAACTGACAATGCAGAGTTCAAAAGTGCAATTAACCAACATGGCTTTAAGCAAATGGTTCAAAAATCAACTCGGATTACAAATACGTCATCGACGTTAATTGACCTTATCATAACAAATAAGCCATCAACTCTATCGCAGGTTGAAGTTGTATCCACGTCATTAAGTGATCATGATATGATTGCCTGTATAAGGAAAGTAAACTCACATAAACAACCACCTAAGGTCATTAAATGCCGTAATTATGTTAATTACGATTCAAATAAATTGAACGAGGATGTTGCAAAGATTGATTGGAAGCCTGTTTATGGAGCAAATGATGTTTCTACATCATTGCATTTTCTCTGCAGTAAACTGAAAGCTATCTTCAATGATCACGCCCCTATTGTCGAAAAACGGGTCAAGGGTAAACCGAGTCCGTGGTTGACTTGTGAGGTTAAAAAGCCTATGGACGACCGTGATAAACTCCTGAGAAAAGCGCGAAAGAGTAAATGTGAAACCGATTGGATAGCCTATAAACGTTTGCGTAATTACTGTACTAATCTTATTAAACGAGCAAAAGCTAGCTTCCATAGAAATCTGCTTGCTGAAAATGTAGGAAACCCACGTAAATTCTGGTCTACCATAAAGTCGATCTTTCCATCGAAAAGTATGAAATCAAAAGATTCTGCTGGAGATAATGCTAGTAACGAGTCAAGAGTAAATAAATTCAGTACTTATTTCAAGAATGCAATCATAACAATGAAACTAGCTGCTATACCGCTAATGAATTTTACATGGCGCTTTATGAAACCTCGTACAAGCCGAACCTGTGAAACTTTTACTATAAGCTATATATCGAAGTCTTTTATTGAGAAAGAATTATGCTCCCTAAAGCGCAATAAAGCAACAGGGCTTGACGAATTACCTTCTGGGCTGTTGAAGGACTGCGCAAAAAATATCTCGGGACCGCTGTGTTACATCATGAACTTGTCGATCACAACTAGTACTATACCTAGCGTATGGAAATCAGCGAAAGTTGTTCCTGTTTTTAAATCCGGTAACCATGATCAACCGGAAAATTACCGACCGATTTCAGTACTACCTGTCCTTTCCAAAATTATGGAAAAGGCAGTCCATTATCAACTTCTCCAATTTCTGGAAACTAATAAACTTCTTAGTGATTCGAAATTTGGCTTCCGTAAACATCGATCGACTAAGATGGCCGCAGCACTTCTGTGTGATAATATTCGGAAAGAAATGAACACTGGGAATATGATTGGGGCTGTGTATCTTGACCTATCGAAAGCATTCGATACTATAGGACATGGATTATTACTAAACAAACTGAATATGTACGGAGTCAAGGGGAAAGAATTAAGTTGGTTCACAGATTATCTGTTCAATAGGACTCAGACAGTTGAAATCGAGAGCGTTAGATCGAGTCCTGAGCCTATTTGTTGTGGGGTCCCGCAGGGCTCAATCTTGGGTCCGCTCTTATTTATTGTTTTCTTTAATGACCTCGTTGAAAACATAAATTGCCATGTTATAAAATATGCTGATGATACCGTCATATACTACGCAAATAAAGATATTGATGTTATTGAAAAAGTTTTGAACTTGGAAATGGAAAGCATAGGTAATTATTGCAGAGAAAATGAACTTCTGCTCAACCTCAAGAAAGGTAAGACGGAGGCAATGCTGTCTGGTACTACAAAGCGCGTAAAGCAACACGGTAGAGAGCTCAAGATCAATTATAATGGTATCTCAATCTCTTTTGTGACAGAGTACGTCTATCTTGGCAATGTCATTGATAGCGCTCTTACGTTACATTCTAATTTTACCCGAGCTTATAAACGCGCAAGCAACCGTCTAAGATTGCTGAAAAGCTTGAGAGAATACCTGGATATCAACGCAGCTACAAAGATATTTAACATGATGATACTTCCAATTCTGACCTATGCTGGTCCAGTTAAGCTGACGTATACTCGAACTCAAAAAGAGCGTTTAAAATCTTTGCTAAATAGAGCCAAAATCATAACAGGAAATGATGCACTTGCGGATATGAAGTCATCCAAAGACAGAACTGTATGTTAGTAAGAAAATGTATCGAACAGCAAACTAACAGCATGATTTTTAATAATTATTTTGAAACCATTAGTCATTCAAAGGAAACGAGGAATAATAATCATTCATTGCGACTACCTCCAGTAAAGTTAGAGACAGCTAAACAGGGGTTATACTTTGGTGGAGCTAAACTTTATAATAGCCTTCCATTAAAATTAAGAACGGAACCGGAACTTAACAAGTTTAAATCCTTGCTCGCTGACTATAAGTTTTTATAGACTCTTTTATAGATTCTTAGATTAGTTTGATTTTAACGAAATAAGTCTTATTTAGGTTTATAGTTATCAGTACAAAATTAATTATCTTTTCAACAGGACAAACAAGGATAGCAGTTTTATTCCTGTGAAACTTAATTGTATACATAGTTGTAAATACTGATGTTTTTATCCTGTATAAAGATTTTTAATAATAATAATAATAATAATAATAAAATCGCTCGTCAAAGTTCGCGATTTTTGCATATTTCAACGCCATTTTGTTATTTCCAGTACAGACGCGAATTCGGTCAGCGCCCTCATTTTTGACGTCATTGCGTGCTTCGACGCATTCATTTCTCTGCGGGAATTTAAAAACATACTACGCGCTGAATGCAAATTTACTGACATACACATATAACAGCTTAATTAAAGCACGATGCCGCATTGCACCGTACCGTTGTGTACTAATGGGAGTCGAAAAACCAAGGGAACGGATATTAGTTATCATAGATTGCCAAATGGGCCTCTCAAAAGCGTTTGGCTGCGGAATTTACGTCGCAATAACCCTCGTGAGCGTGCGAATACGTACGTCTGCAGCGCACATTTTACTCCAGATTGTTTTGAACCTGCTACCGAAGTGATTCCAGGTTTCAAGAAACGTAAAATGTTAAAGCCATCAGCAGTACCTACAATATTTGCTTTCCCAAAGAAGCACCACGAGACCAAAACAAGGACATCAAGTCTTAGACAATCAAGTCTTAGTCCAGATACAAGAAGTTACTATCGCAAGTGAAGTGCTGCCTCACAGGCATAGGGTATAGCCACAGAACACAAGCAAATAGAACTACAGCAATACAATGTACACAAAAGTGACAAATGTTTTAATTTAGATATTAGTTAACTATCACTTATCTGTAATAGTTGGCAAGGCTTTATAATGGTATAAAAAATACAATAATAATATAGTGTACATAAGTGGAACAATTTAAAGTAGTCTTCTATATTTTCCACATTCAGTGAACAGTTGGTTGGTTATAGCAACAACGGAAAACGTGTAATCGTTTTTCTGCAGGGAGTTCGTATGTTAAAATGAATAAAATAAACACCAGTGTTACATGCCATATTGGTCACATCAGATTTTGCAAACATTTTTAAGTGGTCAATGGGAACAAGATTTGTTTTTGGCACTCTTTGGCACATTGATATTCGCTGTTGATTGTCAATACTTTGGATAGCTTCTAGAGGCCATTGTTCAAAAGCCTGTTAGCTTAAGCCTGGGTTAATTAAAACTTTTACATTAGTTTTTTTAATCGGTCGTTTATGTAGTTGAACATGTTTTTCCATAAATATTTTGTGCATAAATAAATAGCGGTGCAGAACCATAAACCAAAACACCTGAGTAAAATTTAACTCAGGGTTAGCGCTAACCTAGCTTTGAACAACCGACCCCAGCTGTATAGACCATTGTTATTGTAGAATTAACAAAGTATGCGAATAAGTAATTAAGTACAAAATGTTGAGCATTGCTAAATAATTTATTTATCACAAGTGAACATTACACTTTTTACCATTACTGTTGTTGTTGAATGTGCACTTGGCTACCATATTCCCCGAAGAAGAATACGAGCAAGTGATAATCGGGTGGATCCAGTTAACGCTGCACTGGGCTGAGGTGCTCTAGTATCTCGTAGAGCTTACTATGTTCCTTGGCCAAATTCAATATGACATATAGATAGGCATCACTCTTTGATACGTTGGTCGTTTGTCGTCCATGGATGTATTGATGAGAAATCAAGGAAAATTATGTATTTATCGTGCAACACAAACAATGGAGCAGTGTACTACTATACCTCCTATGCCATGGAACAGTGTGGAATTCTTGATCTCGAAAATCCAATTCACATGTTTGCACTCCGCATTGTATAATCATTAGTCAAGAATTAATCATTCATTAAAATAATTTATGGGTGCATTTAACAACCACCGCCTGTCAACTGAACATAACTGGACCCCAAATCAGATTTGGGTTAATGGTATGATGGATGAGGGAAATCCTTTTGAGGATACATGATAATAACAGCCATTTGCTTTAACAAATTTAAAGTCGTTCTTTCCAGGTGGTGGAAACTTTTTAGCCAACGACCCCTTTCTAGCTCGGCCCAACGTTTCGTGCAACGTGTTTCGTGATTCTTCCTCTCGGTTTGAGACTTGTCCATGCCTCGAACTCGGTGTACTTGCAGATGTCGTAATTGTGCTGGCAGTGCTTGTGCTAGCAGGTCGTAATATCATCGACTGCAGAACATTCGACTAGTCCCCACACGCATCCCGCAGTCTCTCTGAAGCCTCTTTCAGCATATCTGCCATATAAGGTATTGGTTTATCGGTTTATTTATAATTTATAACATGGGGCAAGCAAATATATCATTAATGTGATTTTGCCGCGCTGCTGTACTCCCAGCCGCGCTCGCCCCAGGAGGATTGAATAAATATTTTGCAATGGATTGGATTGAATAAAATATTTTGTGTATTGGGATTAAATAAATATTTCGTGGATTGGATTGAATGCAGTACTTTGTATATTGGATTTAAAAATATACTTTTCGTGGATTGAATTGAATGATATATTTTTAGATTGAATTGAATAGGATTGCACTGAATGAATATTTTTACGGATTGAATATTGCTACAGACGGGCCGGCATATTCATGGTCAATATACAATAACAATGATGGGAAGAAATGAGCAATTATGGCAAGAAATGTGAGTTATGTGACGTTGTCTTCCGTTTGCATAAATTCCGCATAAATTTACGCGGACAGACAAACATTTACAAAGCGAGATTTTGACTACATACACAAATATATACTTCGCGCTAAAGATTGGGGCGAATGAACTCTGGCGAAATGTTAGCCTGCCCTGCCAAGAATAGGAGGCAGCAATTAAATGTAGGCATTGAAGTGATTGAACATAATTTTGAAACAATCTAAACAAAATAGTACTAATTTTAAACTGCATTTGAGCAGCCACAAATAATGACAATCATACACCCAGTCTTAAACTGGATGTGTGAAAATTCAGTCTGAATTTTTACGACTACAATTCCTGACCACTGGATCCGACACAAATTTGCCGAAAAATTTCTCGAGTTCAAATGATCAAACATTGGTTTCAAGAGGGAAGCCGAGCAAGCCAAATATCGTATTGCAATCGCATACATAGAAGTTTGCAGAGAATAAGATTATCGTCCTTTTAAGAAGGATTAAGAAGAAAGAATAAAATAGAGAACAATTTTTGAATAAGATTTTTTTCTTTTTAGACTGAAAACAAATGGGTAGATCACTAGATGAAGAGCTTTGTATAAATAATAAACCCTTAGGAAGTGAAGCACATCCAATTGAATGCGGGGTTTTCCTGTAAACATCGTCCATCTTCTCGACTTCAGTCCTTCGATCTTACTTTTATGTATGAGTTGGTGTTTCAAGAAATTAAGATTACCTACGTTCAAAAAAATTGACCATTCAATGTACAGACATTGACACTGCAGTCAGTGTGGTCTTTGGTTCGTGCACGATTCTTGCATGGGCGAAGGAAGTAGATTACATAGGGCAAAGATCATCCGAGGATAACAGTGACATGAGAATTTCAAAATTGATCAACATTTATGAGGGCCGTATGAGAGAATGCAATGAATGTCAATCCATATAATGTACAAAAAAATAAATTCTATTAAAACAGAGAAAAATGTAGTTAATACGGTGATGATACGTTAAAAAAAAATGAACTGGAATGACCTAAGCATTGGGAAAACTATCTATCAACAGGTGAATTCTCTCAAGATGTTAGGTACACGTATTGACGCATGGTATTATTATGCGGGATTTATTATAGAACTACACGTGCTTTATTTGTGCATGTGGCTGAAAATAGGACGATTTATTGGCCTGTACAGATTCTCTTTAATCCTTTATTAGTTTACTATCGGCATTAGAGCGAAAATATTGTTGGTCAAAACGTACAGAGATTGTGCAGTCAAATATGGTGCAATTTGTACAATGACGTTAGTATAAAGTAATCCAAGGTCGTCACGTGCGTTTGCAGTTTATCTGCAAGATAAGAGATAAAGTTACCGATTTTTACCGCAAATACCACGGTTTTTGGCATTTTGTCATCGAACGAAGATGTCGCTGACACTCACTAGCGGCCGACGTTGCTTATATTCTACTTGGAAAAAAGTATATTTTTGGTCATGGACCTCAAGTGCAAGTAAACTTAAGGTATGCCATTGTTTTTTTTTCATATTTCACCTTTTGCCTTTGATTCGATGGCAATTACTAATTCATTTGTTTTGTCTTAATAATGTGTTTGGCAATCATTAATAATCTTGAAATGTATACGGGAAATTGTGTAGGCCACAATTTGCAGTAATTTCTTCGCAGTTCTCGCTTAATTATCGTGGATCGATCCTCGGTATTACACAAAGTTTGCAAACCAACTATATTTATATAAAATGTCGTGTTTATAGCGAGGTTTATATTTGGCTGTGATATTGATGTTATTCAAGGGCAACCTCAGACACTTTGTTAATCACTGTATGATATCTCGAAACACTGTTAGCTAGAGGTTACTTAAAAATTGGAAAGGGCAAAGAGGAAGTCATTGGTTAATTGTACCTGTATTTTAATAATTCCAGCTAGCTGTTGTTTGTAGTCAGACATACATACTACATAGCTATTTTCTAGATCCTGAATACTCAGCTATATATAAAATACAAATTAATATACTATGAAAACACTAAATCTTCACAAAATCAAATGCCTTGGGGCTATCCTGCCAATGAGATTTTGAATGAAAATTAAAAGAAAAACTGTTATATTATTGCATTGATTTGATTTAAAGATTGATGCCTCGTACAACGCAAAAATCACCATGTTTCCATTGTTGATTTTCAAATAGCCATTTATATAATTGTGGGAAATTATCAAATATCTCACTAGTAGTTGGGCTGCTTTTAATTGTAAGTAATAGAATTTGCCAATTGGAATATTGTATTTTGGAGTAAACTATATGATTTACCTATGCAAATTGCAGTTCAAGGCTTTTTACAACTAAACCTAGGTGATTATGTGTTGTAAATATTTTTTACGATAGTTATGCATTACTAATTACCAATTACTTTTTGGATAATTTAAAACCATAAATTTATGTGTATATCCCAATAATTAGTCTATCCCAATTTCCATGGTAATGATAAATTTTCTTAGTGATTTTTGAGATTTTGTTAGTGTGGTAATTGCAGATCAGTATCTTATACAAATTAAAAATGCAATCTTATTATGGGGTTGAAAATTATTTTGTCTGGCATTATTATTGCAAAAATATTATCTGCATGTCTGGCATTATTTGCATTTTGTCAACCTTGAATTTAAAAATTTCTTCTTTGGGGGGAATAGGTATATCTTAATTACCCTGAAAGTGCTTTATTCCACAATATTTTGATGTTTGCTAAGCCAGGGGAATCCACCCTGTTCCTAAATGTATGTCCCACTCAGTACAACAGTCAGATATATAAAAAATTTTAACCGAAGCTCCAAATTGCTAAATCTAGTAAGGCTGCCCCCTCCTGGTCTAAATGTGCTAATTATTAAAATCAAGTGGGGCTTTCTATGCGCATTCGACTAGATCTGGTAAAAATGTACGTACCAGATCTGGTCGCACTGGTCCCACCCTAACTGGTATTAGTGATGTGCAATTTGCCTGTGTGCCATTATAATGGTTAGGATAAATTTTTACTGATTCAAAAAATTTATTTTGAAGCATTGATTTTGCTTTTTCCCTTTTTGGAAATGACTATATTCATTGCTCAACATTAACTTGTACTACATGACTAAAATACACTGTGTACACAATACAAAATCTGGTGTGTTATGCCATAGGCCTATTGAATTTGTGTACCTGCATTAATTTTACCACTAGCTCCTTATAATATCACCAATCACAGATAATCACTCATAGTAAAGGTCAAGGTCACAAACCTAGGTCAGGTCATATTTTTAACTGCATATATCAGCTCAGCTGTGTAAAAAGACAATAATGAAATAAGAGCAGTGTTTAACATTGAAAGACTAAAATTAATTTTGCTCAAACTGGCATAAATGAATATGCTGGTATATATAACTGGCATAAATGAAAGACTCTCTTTTATTTAAGCTACTTCGCCTCCCGAAGTAATATGACTTCTGTTTCTTTGTTTACATCAAAACCTGGATGTAATATATTTCCGTTGCTGATAATCAGGCGTCTCTTTGGCAATGTAATGTATAATGTATTCCAATTTGTTTTGATTTTTTGTTTTCTATTGGCCCATTTTATCTTTCCTAACTCTCCTGACGAAGGCTTTCAGGTCGAAACGTCGAGAAGTGTTTTGTCTATTTTAAGCAATTAGCAGCAATACAACATTTAATGCAAGTTTGTCTTATCATTAGATCTAATAAAATGAAGTAAAAACTGGGAAAATGATTAACGTGCGCAAATCGTGTTAATACGAATGGTACGATCTTGTATATAGCAAGCGTGTGAGTAAATTAAAACATTGTCGATGAATTATTTAACATGATCTGCAAGTATTTAACATGATCTACAAGGCAAGAGAAACACTCAATAAAATCTTAAATTTACCCTTCTTGTGACGTCATGCATAACCTGATATATATACCATAATTATTGTTAAAAATAAGCGGAATATTTTATCAACGAAAAACGATAAAGCAAATCTGTAAAAGGATTTTGCAATATCCTGAATGTCTCTCTGAAATATAGGACAAGTTAGATCGCTTGATTGGGAGCAGTGTATATTCATATATTCATGTTTAGATATGATAGGAACAATAGCGCGGAAAGAAATTAATCGGGCATAAGACGAATACAGTATATGAATGTACACCCCGCCCCCCAATTAAGCTACTAGCTACGGCCGGTTGTTCGAAAGGCGTTTAGTTTAAACGGTGGATAAGTTAAAAATATTTCGATGTAAATAGTTCAATGGAAGTACATATTAGATGCATAATATGCAGGTTCAGTCGTTCACAAGATGCATTTGTATCAGAGTATTTTTATCCGCCGTTTAAGCTAAACGCCTTTCGAACAACCGACCCCTGGTTGTTTGGCAACCATTCGTAATTAAGAGTAACATTGCATGTTTGGGATTCCTTATTTGCTGTTATAACAATGAGCCATTTTCGTTTTACAGGGAAAAAGAAATCTCAATAACCGACAAATATCAACCAGTACGCAACAATGTGGACTAGTAGAACGCATGCCAGCAAAGGGCGAGTTCTCTCGTGATCCAAATCAGCCAATAGCAGTTGTTTATGGATGGCTGCTAGCAAAAAGCCGCCATCTTGAAAAATTTGGTCAGTTCTATAACAACTACGGAGCGGATGTTGTTACTGTGAAACCAAACGTGTCTGAGGTAAATTACTGTATATATGCATTTGAAAATATGCTGGCAAAAAAAAACCGATACGAACATTTCCTCTTGACTATTTAGCTATTTATTGGTCTAACATTTTCGCGCGCCAGCTCTCTCAATATCACTGGATAGGAACCCCCCCCGGTAACATAATTTTGTTAATGAAAAAACAAACTTGCCCTAGGTATACCATGTAAGTCTTAACTATCTCTAGACTCTAGGAACTCAAAAATTTGCCAAATTCTGTAAAATATCCTGAAAAACGGAAATTTTAATTTTACACACGTGTGCCGTACATATTCTTTAAAAATAAATATTTTGTGGAACACAGTCTGTTTTTACCAATTAAGAGCTTTTCCATTTTATGTTACAATGACATTAATTACACGTTCTCGTCGCACGCACCCTCGAATGACCTCATTTTTAGGCCATATAATTTATGCCACTTGAATGACTTTCCGATTTAGGTTCTTCGACCCAAGAAAGCGGAAAAACTTGCCGCAAGCCTACTTGATATCTTGCAGTCACCCACCAACAAAGACAGACCAATCCTAGTTCATGGTTTTTCGGTCGGAGGCTATCTGTACGGTCAAACACTCAATCACATTGTCACAGATCCCAAATATTCCTCGGTGCAAGATCGTATCATTGGGCAAATATTCGATAGTCCTGTGGACTTTGATAATATACCGTACGGAATCTCAAACGCTGCGACAGAGAATGTGATACTCAGGAATACAATGAGGTTAAGCATTCAGTCTTATTTTAAACTCACTCAGAAACACACAATGGATAAATTCCTTGCGAGATCGAAATTGTTCCTCGGTAATCCGGTACGAGCTCCAGCACTGATCTTGTTTTCCAATGATGATCCAGTTGCATTACCAGAAGCATGTGAACAGTGCGTGACAAAATGGCGGGATCTTGGGATGGATGTGACGGCGAAGAAATGGGAAAGTTCCCCTCATGTGTCGCATTTTTATAAACATCAGGAGGAGTATTTAGAGCTGCTGATGATGTTCTTGCATAAAGTTGGTATTGTTCAGACCGTGGAAGGCAGAAAACTTTAAATGGCTATATTATAAGACGATCACTCCTGTGTAATATTTAAGGATTAAAGCACTCTATGAGTGCGTTATTGGGTTTTACATGCACGAGTTCATACACAAGGAACGAGAAGTTCAGTACTGTATTGAACTTCGAGTTCCTTGTATATGAACGAGTCCATGTGAAACCCGACAACGCACGAACAAAGAAAGAATACATAGTGTTTCGTCGTCGCAATTGTATTATTTGTTTCCGTATTAATTGCCGCTATTTTGCCTGTGCAATAAATTTTATAACGGCACTGCCGTTGCGTTGTTGCTATATAAAATTCACTCACGTGGTAGAAATCGACCAATCAGAACACACGTTTACAAAAAATGAATATTAAATAAGAATAATTTATAACTTGCGATAGTGCAGTTGACCGATATTATCCTAACGTGCCGGCTCTTATCAGAAAGACTACCAAAAACCATGGCTCATTTTAACACTGCCAGGTTAAGGCCGGCGCACACTAGAGCTATGTGCTTGGCAAAAAGTCATTCGTGGCCATTAGCGTAAGCCAGTTGCTCTCGTGTGCGGGCGACTTTTCCAATGACTTTCGTCATTCGTGCCAAAAGTCGTCGGAAAAGTCGCCCGCACACGAGAGCAACTGGCTTACGCCGATGGCCACGAATGACTTTTTGCTAAGCACATAGCTCTAGTGTGCGCCGGCCTTTAGAAGCCGAGAATAAACAAGCTCTTATCAAGTACTCGGAAATGCTCGGTCCTACCATATAAAAAATAGGGTTTCCAAAAGAACTGTAACCGCGTACATGATTAGTTTATGCATTTACACAAAGGCCAAGTAACACGGTGGAATTTTTCTTGCAACTTGCATTACCAATTTTAGCTAAATTTGGCAACTGGGAAACTTTTGTTTATTGCACTCCATTGGAGGTTCCGTACACTTACATCTTGAAGACTCTTCGCTATAATTTAAATACCTTGAAAGTAGAATTGCAAGTTGCATGAAAAATTGCTCCGTGTAACAGGACCTTAAGTTATACCAGCGCGAATATGTGATTTTAGCGACACAGAAATGTCAAGTTCATCAACATAAATTATTGTGAATATAGGTATCACATAATGAATGATATAATTAATACATAATTATTAATGCGGTCTCGTTATTTTCGAACACCTTTTAGAACTGTGCTGCCGAATAGTTCACTAGCTTTAGAGAAACTGGGTACCTATCAGCACGACTTAAGTCGTGATACTGATAGTCTAGTATATGAGATTGTTAATTGCATTGCTAAAATTTACTGTAACGGAAAACGTTTTTAAACTTAATTAAAAAGGTTAGTTTATTGTATTCAGCTATTCTCGGAATACGGTGGGTGCAACCCAATTGTAAGAAATTTTCGAAAATAAAATATTATTGAGATAGTTGCCTGATAAGCAGAGAGAAAGGAAAGTCGAAAACAATGGAGGTTCTTGAGTTTTTCAGTAAAAGAAGGTCATAACAATAGATAGGAAAGCCCGAAAAAAGTTGTAAAGAATCGTGACCCAGTGGAGGGTCGTATACTTCTTTGGAAGGAGATTTTACTTTTGTTCAAAGTTCTCACCTTGTTCTTCCTGCTAATTTCTGGCACGTTTCTGAACAACGTATTATTAGTAATTAGTAATAGCTATGTTACTAGAGAAATTATGATGAAACACAAATGATTACACAAAATACTTGTTAAAACTGTTTCCTATAGACACCCGAATTTGCTCCGGACAATGAAACAATCCAACTAACAATGGATAACATTGCCCGCCTCGTTTCGGGAAGTGTCTATTAAGGACAAAAATTGCCTATTGAATGGAATTCTTTGTCTGTGCGCCCTCATGCAAAATTCACACTCCACGCGCAAAATTCCATGTAATCCTAGTTTTCATCACTGGCAGGCGGTTGTCAATGTTCTTTGACCTATTGTTGTGGTGACTAATAAGGTGGAACATTTTTCCGGCAGACAAGGTTTACGTTGTACAAGCATATGCATAGAAGCAGATGATATTACTGCATTTAGCTAATGTTGTTACCTCGGTAATAATGTTATAACAAACTAAAGCGGACTTCGGTTCATAAATAAACGTACAACTGGAAAATAATATATCCCAATTAATAAATACCACAGTTTTTTATTAGAATAAAAATTTTTTGTGGACTGGCTAATTCTCTGGGACTGAAAAGTGGGTTTAACCTTCTATAATCAAACCCCCCAGGCGGTCTTTCGCCGTCCTCGCATTTCCCGATTTAGGGGCGTTCAAAGAAGCCGTTCCTTTGCAGTGAACTCAATATCTTTATACTGGAATGATAACTGGTGTAATAATTCCTTCTATAACTCAAGGATTGCAAAGGATTTTAAACTTCACAGTGTTAAGAAAAAGTTTTAGATCTGGCTTAGATCAACCAGAAGTCTTTACATGAATAATTAATATGTCCTACGCATGTCCGCTGATCATTACAACTTCCTTTAAAAAACAAAAACAAAATATGATAATCCTAGAATATCTTAATGTTTTAGTGTTCTATAGCTAGTTACAAAAAAATGTATTTAATCGTTCTAACGGCCTAAGGTGGCATATAGTCCATTACATAATCATGAAATCTTTCAGGTTTTCGTATAATTCTTTTTCTTGATGTTTTTTCAACATTTGTACTCGGAATGGTTGGGGTTAAGGTTGTGATTGCATTATCATCTTGAGTTGGAATAATCAATATGTCCTACGCATGTCCGCTGATCATTACAACTGGTATTGATTTTGGCAGGAAAAAGTGAAGCAAGCACGTCATACGTTTGGACACCAGAATCCACGTCAGCCGTACGTCAGTTTTAGTCCCCTTTTCTGTTATCGCCTCGCGATCCGTACGTCAGTTTCAGTCCTCTTTTCTGTTATCTAATGACGTTGCGCTCGCGTAATGATGACGCCAGCTTATTCGCCAGCTTTGGCTTTACTTTTCGGAGTCAGTTCTCATTCCAGATAGAGGAAATTGAGTTCACGGTTCCTTTGTTCTTGTTTCACCTCTGTATGAATGAATGTGGATTAATTAAATTAATAGTGGAATATTTACAACTTCCCGTTGGTCTAAATAAACTGACACATTAAAATTGAAAAAACTGGAAGGAAAATCAAACGAAAAATTTTGTTCCACCAAGCAATTCAGCCTATGCAAAACCATGACAGATCTAAAGGGAAAGTTTTGAAAAGTTTGAAAGTTGTACACATTTAAAATGCTAATATAAACAAATATTTCCTGTTGCTCGTGCAAGGGATTAATAGTAATCGTGCATGATGTTTGAAAATTTCGCCAAAAAAGACTGGCCCAGCGGCTTGTCAAATTGTTGCATTATTAAACCCGAATTGTACTTGCCATCGCATGATTACCCATACTAATTAGTTGAATATTTAGTATAGCGACGGAACAATATACAACGGCACCAAATAAAGTAATCCAAATTCATCAGGCTGTTGTACGTGATATTTGGCGTTTAGCAATTTTATTACACAACAAGAAAGAACGAATATTTGTTTTTCGAATGATGCCATTCCTATTTCATAGCAACATAACAAGCGAGAATTTCGTTTTAGACCAATCAGCATATTTCTCTACATTTTCAGTGCATAAATCTTTACATCATTTGCCATTTTACATGAAGTATCAAAAATAAAGGAATTCTGATTGGCTCTGCCTGAAAAATGTAAACAAATATGCGGATTTGTTCAAAACGAAATTACTTCTTGTTTATAGCAACATCAAAGAAAACCTTGCTCATGCAGAAAACATAGCTCTCTTTGCTGGTTAAAATTAAAAATTTAGTCGTTAAATGTGCTATTTATGACAGCTAAATTGTTGAAACTAAGTGACTTTTTTTACACACCGCGCATTTTACAACGGCGCCAGTTGACAAGTGACTGTGTATAGTGATGGCAACACTGCTATTCCGGCGATGAATTAATAGACGATTTTAAAGTATTGTCATTCTCCCTTGGAACAATACCAGTTGTGACTGCAAAGGTCCATTCCGGGTTTCCTTGTAGACAATTCTTATTTATTATCTTATTTCTTATTTATGAAAGTTACCTGTTCTTCTAAGGACATGGATAATTACGCAGAATTATTCAAGTCCAAGAAATACAGATGTCACACAACACGTATAACGTTCAGTTTTTCTAAGCCATTTTGCGAATAAGATTAAAAAGACTCTAACCTGGTATTCAATAATTTTTCTCTCAATCTTGGTGCAGGATGCTTTACAAAATCAGGTAATAAATAAATATTTCCATTAATCGTTTACTAGAATCTTTCCTTGTCATGACTAAATCTAGTTCTATTAACTGTCCTCTTTTCTGTATTCGTACGTACGCATACCTAATCCCCAGTCTTTAGAGATTAGAAATATATATGCATGAATATCTCAACAAAACCACACTGTGTATATACAAATATCTAAAAGCTGTATATTTCTTTACGGAGTATTTTATTAGTATCATTAGAACAGATTGCATCACAAAGTAATCGGAATGAGCGTTGAAAGGGCTTCCTTGATGAAACCTTTATTTACCCCCAGGCCCAGGGTAGTCTCTTCAGTGTTGAAAGGAACATTGTTATCATTGGGAGCCCTGGTAAATTTATATGTATGTACAAAGAAGTATAAAATACAAATTATTACAATATTATTACGAGAGTCCAAGAATTAAAAGATACTAAAAATCGTGTCCGATACCTGTACATAGCTATATATTACTTCTTGAAAAAACTATTCTATATTACAGCTCATGCATTATAATAAAAAATATTTTTTGGCAGCTTCTGTCCTTACCGCCGGAACACTAAGAAAATTACTTTGGCGCGTTCTTCTTGTAATAAAGTCTCTATACTTAAAATAATCACAGAGAAACTGTGGGACATTACCATTAATAAATTTCTTCACCAGCTTTATTCCATGCTTTTTCCTTCGGAACTGCAAAATGTTCCATTTTAATGTACTTAAAGCGTTCTCACTTGAATCAGATTTTCCCACAATCTTGCAGCTTTTCTCTGCAAACATTCCAGGTTATCAACATCGCCTTTATTACAACATTCCCAGGCACTGTCACAATACTCCAAAACAGGCATTATGAAAGATTTGTATAAGGTCTCAGCAGCATGCGTTGTAAGATCTTTTCGCAGTCGACCCTGCATCCCTACTTGTTTACCACAATTACGAACAAGATATTTAACATAGTGCACTCCATGTCAGTGAATCATCCAATATAATACCAAGATATTTAAACTCCGTCACTCTCGTCACTTCATATGTACCGATACAGGTACAAAACCTGGTTATTTGGGAGAGTTTCGGTCTCGTTCCAAAAACCACCACTTTCCGGCGTTTTCTTTTTGTTTAAGAAAAGAATATTTCTTTCGGTCCATTCATTAATAGCAGCAAGTTCGCTATTAAGAACATCCTGTAGATGTATTACGTCCTTATGTTGAAAAAAAATTCTGCACCATTAGCGTACAATAGGAT